AGTCAGACAGGTTGGAAGGTACAGTCATCAGATGCAGAATCACACAGAGGGCCGCCCTTTACCCCTCTTTCTGCATAATTTTTACTGATGATGGATTTGGGCAGCCTAAAGAAGTACAAAGCTGGGGCTGGGGATTTAGCTCAGCGGCACAGCACTTGCCTGGCAAGAGCGAGGTCGTGAGTTTGATTCCGGGTACTGGAAAAAAACCAAAACAAAAAAAAAGTACATTAAAATAACTGATGATGGCTCAGCTGCAATACGATTCTCAGGCAAAGGAACACCGGCTAGATGCTGTGGATGGAGTCAGCTACCCTGGGCACTTAGTGAGGATGTCGGGAGCACCCTAAGTGTCAGCAGAGAAGGCACTGCCTCAATGATTAGAAATAGAACACAAAGCGTGATCTCAAGAGACCTTTCCTTAGGCAAATTTAAAGTTGCTACCTTGAGGGGTCTTAGCCACACACGGGCTCAGGCCACTCGTTCATTAACCATTAATCTTCTAGGCAAACATTTTGTGTTCAACACCCGCTCCCAGACACAAGGTAGGTGGAGGGAGTGAGGCATAAATCCTGGGCCCAAGGATTTCGGTGTGTATCCATCCTTCTGTCTCTTTGGATGGGGCGGAAAGAGCTACGATTTTAAAATTACAATCCTGCATGTTATAGTCAGGGTTTGCAAGAGCAACAATTTAATACAGGACATATAGTTTATAGAATTACTAGATAATATTCACCCAAAGAGTCAAATGCAAAAGAGTGTAGAAGATTTGTCCACACTCTAGAGACCCAAAGAATGCAGCTGAGGGCCTGGGTCCCATGGCAGTGTCCTGCACTAGTTCAGCTGAAGACCTAAAACCCATGGGAGTGTCCTCCATGACTCCAGCTAGAGGTCTAGAGCCCACAACAATGTCTCATTCAAGTCTGTATCAAAGATCTGCACCAAAATCCCAAAGGTCCATTTTGGAAGCTGGACAGTCTGTGCCAGTGGGATGAAGGATCTGTGCCAGCAGGCTGTGGGATCTGCACTGGAGCCAGGAAACAATGCTCAAAGCGGGGACCAGAGCTCCCCTGGAAAGAATCGCAGCCATCCCCAGTGACAGCAAGGTCCTGAGCTCCTCCAATGATGAGAATAGCCGAGTTCACTCAGGAAAGCCAGTGAGCGCAACAAGCTTCTCCAGGAGAATCAACAGCACACCATCTACCCCTCCAGTTCTCCTTCTATGCTGTTGGCAGCACTCCTCAGGTGGGCCTCCCACACCCATACCATGCTGATTCATTCCGCTGACCACCAGTGGTCAATCCACCACACCACATAATACTATGATTGGTGCTGCCAGCACTTCTAAGGAACACAGGAGAAATCTCTGCAGCATTGTGGTGAAGAGCTGATTTCCCAAACAGTGTGCATCGTGGAGCAGTTTAAATGTGGTTAGGAAGGGGAGGGGCAGTTCATAGACAAAACACAAGAAATACAAATACTCAATAAACCTGAAAAGATTTCCAACTTTGCTGAAAAATTTTAAAATGCTTAAAAATATTTCCCCCTTAGAATTAAAAGCAATTTAAAAAAATTATAACCTTAGACTTTCATCCACTATTAACTAGAGGACAACTTGGTAATATTTGCCAAAATGTACAACGTTTTTACCTCCAGGGGTCAGCTGTGTCACTACCCCTAACCTCAGCTACCCTCCCACACTGGCACAGACCTGCAGCCACCTCGGGGGATGGGGACTCCACACTGCTCAGTTGGGACCAGCCAGGACTCAGACAGGCCACGAGTGTTGGCCAAGGACCCCAGCCCGGACAAGAGCTGTCCTGAGCTCAGAACATTTTCAGAGCCGCTGTGTGTCTGCAAACTCCCTTGCTCCTGCCCCTTGTCATCCGCTCCATAGGCACCCTGTGAAGGCAGATCTTCCAGCCCTGACCCTGGGCAAAGGGCAGAGAGGAGGGGAGCCACAGGGAGCACAGCAGGGCGGGCACAGACCACGGGAGTGGACCTTCCAAAACCAACCTTCCAAAAACGGGCCTTTGGGATTTTGGTGCAGAGCCTTGACACGGACTTGAATGAGACATTGGCGTGGGCTCTAGACCTCCAGCTGGAGTCGTGGAGGACACTCTCATGGGTTTTAGGTCTTCAGCTGAACTAGTGCAGGACACTGCCAGGAACTTGCTCCTCTCGGTGGGCTGTTGTGTCTGCAGCCACGAGCACTTAAGCGAAAGCTGACTGTAAGACCTTGGTAGCCAGCATGAGGCCCTGCCCGCGGGCTGGGCCAACAGCTGCAGCCTGGCCCTGCACACAGACTGCGTAAGAGGCTCTCGGAAACATAGTTTGTGGTAAAAATGAACAAACAAACAAAAAACCCGTTGGATCCGGCCATAGAGAATAGACTAGGGAAATCACATAGCATCCGTAAGACCCCGCTGCTATGCATCGCTTTATAAAATGAAGTTGTACAGGTTTGTAAATGTGCTCAGAGGGGTGTGTGTTACACTCTTTACCACTCTGCAGCTTGGTGCTCTCACCAGCCTTGTACCTGGCGCATTTGTCTAGCTCAATGAGTATGCTATGCCCACCGACTCTTTCTGTGGGCTGTAAACCCCTGCTGTGCCAACGTCCCCATCTCGTTCATCCACTCTCCTGCTGATGCAGAGATGAGTAGTCTCTCACTAACACTGTTACTGTTAGTGTTTGTGTGGACACACGCCCCGCACCCCCCCCCGCCCGTGAGGATCCAGAGAGATGAATTCCCAGGAGGGGCCCCAACAGGTCACACATCCTGAGGGTCTTCACATTTCATCGCCAGGAATAAATTATTTCCCAAAGCTGCTGTCCCTGTCCATACTGCCAAAATCTGGTCTCCTCCTCCTGCAGTTGTCAGACGATGTACGTTGACATACATGTGTCAGTAAGACCATCCATCTGCAGATAAACATTTCAGGACACTTTAGGAACATTTGGGTCACTTTTGGGAGGCAAGGAGATGAAATAAATGGAACCTGTCATTTCATCACTTTCTTTAGTATTTGAGTGACTTTAGAAACAGGTTTTAAATTCACAAGTTACAAATGAGAAGACAGTAATCAGGCACAGCAACTCCCCACAGGTGTGGGTGAGGCAGGACTGAAAGCTCCTGGCCCCTGTGTTTTCTCTTTTGTGAAATCTGGTTAGAAACATCTACTTTGCAGAACTGCTGTGAAGATCAGATTAGAAACATCTAGCAGTGGGCCTTTTACAGAGTAGGCGCTAAATAAATAATAATAGCTTACATTATTCATCAGCAAATGTGCTTCCCCGCATGCGCACAGGAAGCCCCGTGGACTCTTCCTCTTCTTGTAACTGGTCTCCTCCTCCAAGAGGCCCCCAGCGGGTCTCTGGATCCGAGGGTGGGAAACTTAGCTTGCCTCAATAATTCAGACCTGCAGTCAATGCTCAGCTCTCTTACAGCAAGCGCTGTCTCTTAGGGTACCTGAGTGTGGACACTCAGATCACTGCCCCTCCACGTAGCAGGGCAGATGGCCAGTTATGTTTGAATTTCAGGCACACAGGAATGCCTTTTTAATGGTATGTTCTGCGTACCACAGAGGACTTATTTATAGTGAGGGAATCGGCATTGTTCATCCCAGATCTGCCTGTTACAGCATCCTGGGGTTTCCCCGGCTGCCCTCTCTGGACGGACGGGGAAGGACTCAGCAGGGGGAAGGGCCTCCTGCACTTGGATGTGCCCTGGGTGGTGTCTGGTGTCCCTGAGCCATCAGGCGCCTGCTGTGATGGCCACGGCTGATGTACCACAGTCTGTGTCTCCCAGCAGAGCCACGACCTGTGCGTGTCCCTGGCCCAGCTCGGGCCCCCACCTCTCTCAGGATGTAGCCCTCTGGGACTCTCGGCACCTTCCCCGGGCCTTAGTGAGGGAATCCACACTGCTGCCTTTGCAGAAAGGTCTCTAAGCCAGGTGGCATCCATAGCAGACACCTGGCCCTCAGCTCAGCCACTACCACATGGCCCTGGAAGTGTGTGGGAGATGATACCAGAGTCACAAAACTATCTCTCTGCCCAAACACTGTGTGTCCTGAGATTTTGACACGTCCCCACCACACAGCGCTGAGCACCCAGAGTCCCCAACGAGAAGCGTTTTTACTCTGAGGCCCCGTGTCTCAGTGCTGCCAGGGGCCCCGGTGCTGAGTCAGACCTTCGTGCTTCCTCCTGAAACCCAGACGCCTGTCACTGGGATGCCGGGGACAGCTGAGACAAAGGCTTTCAGAATGGTCCTGGTGCCTCATAATTCTGGGTGAAGTGTTCCAGGAGAGCAGAAGACCGAGCAGCCTCCTTTCTGGAGGATCAGCAGACAGGCATCTTATTAAGGCTGAGGCTGGGGTGAGTGGTTTATCAGGACCCCAGGATACCATCAGGCATTTGGGCCTGGATGGTAAAAATAAGGTTATGAGGACAGGAACCAAGTGTAGCACCCCATAAAATGGTGCTCAGTGGCATCGCAGTATTCTAAAAATACTACACAGATGCCCCTCAGCATCTGATAGGGCCAGGTCGCCATAAACGGATCAGAGGTGGAAAAGACTCTAAGGTTAAAACGCACCTGCCACCCATCCCGACGCCACCACAGCGCACTGCAGAGGCGGTCGTTCCCCTTCAAGGACGACTGGGAGCTCCACTTGCGGCCGCCACCCAGCAACACAGAGGGGCGAGGCGGAGAGGAAAGGTTGGAAGTCAAAGCATGGCTCCCCCTGAACGCAGCTCACTTTTGCACCACCTTAACGGAAGAACTTTCCGTGGAACCCTCCCCTGGCCGCCGGTGACTGTCCCAGAGGCAGAGACAAAGTGCCACACCTCTGCCACAGCGTGGGCCATCCCCCGGCTGAGCCCTCACCCACGAAGCTGGGTTTCCCTCGCTCAGCAAACCCTCATGTCCTCAGAAAAGTGTCTTTTCTCGTTTGTCCTCAACTAGTGACCTCTCTTGTCTTTCTCTTTTCCGCCCAACGCAGGTCCTGGGGTGCCCACGGTGACCGTGCACAACACCACGGATAACAAGAGTAAGTGCTCGCTTCCTCAGAGCTTCCTGAGACTCGGGAGAAACGGGGAGAAAGGCCCTGGCGGAGCCTGCACTTTCCCAGCAGGGGCCTGAGAATGGGCCACATGCTGGTGGCCCGCGCTGATGAAGTGGTGGAGGGACAGCAAGTGGGCTGGGGCGGCCCACAACCCCTCCTGGGCTGCCCATGTGGAGGAGCAGAGCCAAAGGCTGGGGGAAGTTCAGAAGCCCACGATGGGCCTTTGGACTCTTCTCTGTTCTGGAGCCCGAGGGCCAAGGGCACTGGGCCACTCCTTTGTCTCTGTGGGTCCCGGGCCGTGTGCGTGGCAGAAGGGTCCACAAAGGCAGGCTGCACAGGGGGTAATGATGAAGCAGTCTGACCCACGCTGGGATGCAGGAAGACTTTGTTCGGGACCGTTATGGCAGGTCAAGGCCATCGCGGTGGGGGAGAGAGCATGCCCAGCCCTAATACAGCACACACGGCCGGGATCGTGGCCTGGGGCAGAGCAGATGGGAACGTGCTAAGAGGAGAAGGTGAGGGGGGCAGCGCTTGCTGAACGGAAGGCAGAGCGAGGGCTTGGAGGTCGGGGAAGAACTGATCAGGCATCAAGGGTGACCCACATGGGGGGGGTGGCCAAGGTGACTTAGCGGGGCGCTTGCTAAAACCGATGCTGCTGCCTGAAGATCCACCACGAGGTGGGTCAGAGCCGGCTCACAGGGGTCCGACCGGTGCGGACCAGGAGCTGGAGCTTCCAGAGTCTCTCGTTTCTCCTTAAGAAAACGTGTGCTGTTCAGTTTGAATACTTGCTAAACTTTAAGAGTACATTTCGTGAGGGTTTTCTTCCCTTAAAAATCAGTGGTCTGGTGAAAAGTGACTGAGGTGGTCGTGACAGTGTGGCACCGTGCTGGTTTCTGGGCGTGGCCAATGTCACCCTTGGGTGGGGGCGGGGAAAAGAGATGCAGGACTCTGTGAGCCAAATAGATTTGCAACTGCCTACAAATCTATTATTACCTCTCATTTAAAAGCTTTTTTTAAGGCTATGGTCTGAGAAAAAATACAAAACAACCTCCAGGCATTTAAACATACAGCATGTGTCTTACAGAAGCCACTCACTTAAATGCTTTCATTTGCTTCCTTTTGGGAAAGCTGTTATTAAAATATCTGCTGCAGAGACCACCACAGTGCCTGTTATGGCTTAGGTCTGGAACATCCTCCAAACCTCATTCACTAAGAGGCTTTTGGAAGGTGACTGTATCAGGAGGGTGCTGTATCACTACTGGTTGACCCGCTGCCTAGCTAGGATCCATTGCTGCTAGGAGGTGGGGCCTGATTAAAAGAACTAGATCACTGAAACATGACCTGGAAAGGTCTATCTTCCTCTCCAGGCTTCCCTTCCCTCTCTGCTATCTGTCTGGCTGCCACGATGTGAGCAGCTTTAATCCTCACGCCCTTCCGCCACGATGTTCCTGCCTTGGGCCCAGCTAACCATGGACTGAATCTCCTGCACCATGAGCCAAATTAAACCTCGCCTTCTTTTAAGTGGTTGGTGTCAGGTGTCATATCCGGCAATGGGAACATTAACCCGTACATCCCTACTTCTGGAGAAGGCTTTTTGTCTTCCAGCTGGCTGTGACCTTTCTCCCCTGGGAAGACATTCCACAGTGCTAGGTAAGGTCCTCTGAGCTCCCAAGGCACAGAAGCAGATGACAGTGAAGCAGACCTGTGTCTTAGATATGAGTGACACCACTGAGAAAATATCTTATTCTGTGCATGAAAAACAAGGTAATGTATGTGGAGCAGGGTGCAGTGCTTCAGAAGTGAACCCTGAAAATGTACCAACTGCCACCAGCTCCTGTAATATTCGAATGCTCCCAACATTCTGAGATGCTTTATTGCCACCTCTTGTCACCTGTTGAGCTGACTGGCTCCTGAACTTGTTGATCCAACCAGCACTAGCAGACTAGAGCTCCTCTGTTGTCACCTGCTGTCCACAGCGGGCTCCATAACATGCAATGTGTTTTCTTCCCCCACTGTAGTACTGAGATTGAATCCAGGGTCTTCACACTAAGCTATATCCCCAGACCTTTGTATTTTTTATTTTGAGACTGGGTATCAGTAAGTTGCTAAGTTGTCCAGGCCAGGCTTGAGTTTATGATCCTTCTGCCTAAGCCTCCCAGACTGATGGGATTATAGGCATGGGCCACCATGTCCTTAAGAAGCATTTTACAACCTAGAGCTGGGCTGTCACTTTGGCCTTCTGGAGGCACAGAGCAGACCATGTAGGGTAAGAAAGAGAAAATATTCTTACCCAGTATGAGGGAGGCATCACACACCAGTGTGTTCTGTGTCCAGCAGGTAGGACAGGATAAAAGAACAGAATCTTCCCAGGTTTAACAGGGAAGCAATGCAGGCATCCCCACTGTGCTTCATCAGGGCCAAGCACTAGTGAGCAGAGAACAAGCGGCGTGCGTACCCCGTTGTGCTGTGCGGGGTTCTTGGAGCTTGTGTCCATCGTGGCCTGCTTGTGTGGCTGTCCTTGCGGTCTGGCCTCCAGTGGCTGACACAGACCTAGAGGATATCAGCTGCCCTCACGTCGCATGAGGCCAGGATGGAAGCCACACCACCCTGTGCTCCAGTCAGCCTAAGTCACTGCTTTAGCCAGAAAGAGAACGGAGTAAGAGGAGAACAGGGGCCTTCTCCTGCCCAGGGTCTGTGTAGTTTTCAGGTGCCAAGGTTTTGGGGGGAAGGAAGATCTACCTGGCACCCACTTTTCATGCCCCACAGGGGCAGTATCTGAAGCCCCCTGTTACTGTGCTCTACTGTCAGTCAGGAAAATGGATACATAATCCAGGCGCTCTGGGAGGCTGAGGTAGGAGGGGCGTGGCCACGGCTCTGGACCCTTCTTCTGACACTGCCAGGTGTCATGCCGGCCCACAGAAGGGAATTTTATATTTGAAAGGAGCCCTCAGACCGCTGTACCCAGGAATGGCGATGGTGGAGCCCTCTATGGACGCTGAGCACCACAGTGCTACAGATACGCACCTGGTGGGCCAGCGCGGTCGCAAGGTGGGGCGCAGACACCTCCAGGACCTGTGTGCTGGGCAGCACAGAGGCCGGGGAGCCAGGCGCTTTGGCAGGGGCAAGGCCCTTGGCCGACTGCACAGGCCTCATGGCGGCCGGAACTACCGTTGCAGAACTCTGTCCTTCCTCCTCCCCACCCCCTCGGCCCCGCCCGCCCCGGGAATAGCTGACTTTCCCCCTCGCGAAAATCTTTTCTACAAACAGAGCCTGCAGGTGTTCACAGCTGCGACTCTGAATTATTTAAAAGCATCTCTTAGAATGTAATTATGGCCTGGACCCCAGCAGGCTCGTTTGGCGCCTGGGCCTTCAAACACCGTAAGTGTGGGTATAAAGCCGGCAGAACACAGTGGGCCGCTGCTGGTGTTAATGGGAGGTATGTGCACACTGGTGGAGGGATGCAAGGTTGCACCCACAGCAAGGACTCCGGGCTGCCATTTATCACGTCCCTTGAGCCCATGGAAGATAAGTTTCTGTTGCCCACCCCGTCCGTCCTGTTTTGTTTTTTCTGGTATGGGGAATTGAACTCAGGGCCTTCAGAGCAAGCTATACCCGCAGCCCTTTTTGATTTTCTTTTAAATTTTGAGGCAAGGTCTCACTAAGTCACTAAGTTGCCCAGATTGGGGTGCAATATGTGATCTTCCTTCTTCAGCCTCCCAGAATGCTGGTATTATGAAGAAGCAAAACCAGCTCCAGCTGCTGACTGACCCCAAGCAGTGCCATGAACTCCACAGGACACTGCCCCCCTGGGGCCTCCCAGAGGCAGAATTAAGTGTCAGCTTCGTGCCTGTCTTGCCAAGGGTGGCCCTGGTGTCCAATTAAAGCCCCATCTGAAGATGCCCCGGGCAAGTGTGCATGACGTTTTAAAGGGTGGCTTGGTGGGCAAAGAAAGGAAATCGTCCTTTCAATCGGCACTGGTGTCAGGGCGTGCACCAGACACACTCCAGACGAGGTAAACTGAGTCAACATCTGCGTCGTGTTTTGCACACTTCTAAGTGGTCACCTCAAGTTTATCTCCTTAATTTAAAGAGCTACACAGGGTCTATTTACGGTATTGAGAGAAACATTTTCATCTTAAAATGCTTCAAACTCTTGAACAGCATCGGCATGAAAGGAGATGAGTGTCCGCTCCCTGGAGCAGTCGTTCACGCTGAATGCCGCTTTGCACGGCAGCTGTGGGAGCTGTCGTCACAGTGCTTAAAAACCTCTGGTATCATGGGCTTGCGATCCGGTGCACGTCTGACTGAAAGAGGCTTCTCTGAACTGTTTCAATAAGCACAGTGACCCTCTTCTGAGCAGTATGCCTCTGAGAATTAAGCAGTCGCTGCCCAGGTCCATGTGTGCATTGATATACTCTTAAAGCTTTCTGTTTTAGGGCGAGGTCCCTCAACCCACTTTTCATGGAAGGCAAACTTAAGAAATGTCTTTGAATTTCTGTTTTAGCTTTATCAAGTCCAAATAAATTCATATATGTAAAAGTTATAATTGTAGGCTATGACCCAAATAACCTGCCAGGCTTTTTCCATCTAAGAGGTAAATTAAACAGCTGTTATCAAAAATAAAATTTTTTTTAAAAATTACACCATTCTGTAGTCCTGGGTACCCAAGTATCACAGCACTTTGACTCCTTCTGTGCTCCATCTAAAGGTTGCTGGTATCACATCTCACTCACCAGCCCCCAGAACTCTGTCCTCCTGTCCTACAGGCTTGAAAGTCTTCTCATTCCCTATGACCCTAAGGCTATAATTACTGTATCATTTGTTCACTTGAAAACAACAGCACAGCTGGCCATGGTGGTGCAGGACTGTAACGTCTGAAATCTGGGAAGCTGAGGCAGGAGGATAGCAAGTTAGAGCTCAATCTGGGCAGCTTAGCAACTTAGCAAGAACACATCTAAAAATTTAAAAATAATTTAAAAGTCTAGGGATGTAGCTCAGTACTAAGGTCCTGGGTTCATTCCTCAGTACCAGAAGGAAAAACAACAAAAAACAGAAAACAAAAAAAAAAACGCCAGGCAGTATATATTATACAATCAACAATGTCACAATGGAACCTCCGTGTTTACAGCCAAGAGCTGTCCCTTGACATGAGAGGGTCCAGAAAGTCCCCTGCAGTCACTGGGCTGGATCTGGTCTCTGAATACAGCTGGGCAGAGTGGCCCAGGGTGGGGACAGTTCCCACGGCAAGGAGTGCTCCAGGGAGAGAGAAGGGCCTGTGAAGGAGCTGTTGGGAAAACGGCAGTTTTCTGAAGAGTTGCCTTTGGCTGCCTTTTGGATCCAGCTCCCTATTTTCCAGAATTTAGCAGGCAACGATGCCACCAATCCCCTGAGCCCAGGGCCATTGGAAGCAGGTCTTGGAGCAGCCTGAGGGCCTCACAGCCTGGGAAGCAGCCGCCCTCCTGAGCGGGCGCAGGTCTCTGTGGGCTTGCTGTGTCCAGATCTGATAATAGCTAATTCCACCAAATATTAGAGGGGCTCACATTTAATTAAGGAGTGGCCATTTGTATGCTCCAGACTGGGGGTCCCCACTGCCCTGAAGTCAAAAGAAGAGTCCTTCGGGGAATATGCCAATCTTTTCTTATTTCTCTGCTGAGCTCCTGCCCTCTTTGAATGCAATTATGGGAACAAATAAAATGGCTTAACTCAACTCCCCGGTGAGACAGCCAGCTCTCTGCTGATAAAACCAGTTGTGTGGGCAATCATTAAATGAGAAATCTAATATTTAACTAAATTTAATAGTCTGTTGCTTTGGTGCTCTTCAGTGAAGGGTGGGATTTCAATAGACAGGAGCGAGCTATTCAGATGCAGCCTGTGCAGTCCAGGAGCGATTAGAACATCGTGCGCCCCCACAGGAAGCCAGGACTCCCCAGCCCCACTGTTGTTCACAGGGAATGCGGTGGGAATCCCAGCTCAGCAGGCAGCAAACAGCCTCGCACGCTGATTTTGAAACCAGTCCTTCCGGATCTGCACTTGGGATTGCAGAGGAATGCCAGAAACATCTCGTTCAAAGGCATCCATAAGGAGAGAAGCATTGGAAAACAAGATACTCCTGCTTGCCTGGGAGCTTGTACTACATGAAATATTATTTTCCACCCTTTGATTTTTAGTCTATGAATTTCTTTTTGGAGGAAATGTGTTTCTTGTATGCAGCATACCGTTGGGTTTGGTTTCTTAATCCAATTTGCCATTTGAGTCTTTTGATTGGGGAGTGGAGACCATTCTCACTGAGAGCTATTACTGAAAGGCATTGGCTAGCTCCTGTCACTGCATTATTTTCACATCACTGATTGCTTTTTGCGTGATTCTGTTAACTGCTTGCCCTGCCTGGTATGTTCACTCCATCAGACTTTTTGGCATTGCTGGCTTCATTGTTTCTTTCTAGGATATCCTTGAGAATGTTTTTGAGTGTTGGTTTGGTGGTCATGAATTTCTTAAGGTGCTCTGTCATTGCAGTGAACTGTGAAAGGGTCTGTGCCCCTTCACTTTGAAATTTCCTACTCCAGATCCAGCTCTGCCCCCAGCCAGGGGGCACACAGAGGCCGTGAGCAGCAGAAGCTGACCGGTAGTGAAGGGATATTTATTTTCTTCACTGACCTTCATGGGCTTTCCACATTTGCAGTTTGACCCACATCTGCCACCCCAACTTTCTTCCTGCTACCCACCTGTGGTAAGGTCACAGGTTCCCAAGGGCCATAGCAGCTTCCAGCAAGGTGAGGCTTCAAAATGATCCCATGAGATCCACATACAGAGTTGGGTGGTCCATGAGCTGGTTCATAAGCTCAGCATCCGTGACTGTCAGCTTGTGCTCCCACTACACGTCCAAGCACCAGGAACTGTTCAGTCAACTTCATGACTATTTAGTTTGTGTGGGTTTGCATTACAGTAGAGCAGGTAATGACGGTCAAACCTCAGTTTCCCCAACTTCTCCCTCTCAAGCAGTTTGAATTCTGGGAACACTGAGAGCCTTGGGCTTCTGAGATGCCCACAGAACCTTTCAGTCCTGTTGAGTTTTCTCAAGACCTTCCTGGAACCGTGGCAAAATGGTGTGCCCATGCGGGACGTGAGGAGAAAACGTGGATAGAAATGAAACCCAGGCTCTGCTACCATCCAAAGTGCTTAGTTTCCACGTTGTGAGTTGGATTTCCACAAACAGATAGAACCAGGTTACAGGAAACAAGCTGACCCTGTAGGACTTCACACCTATGTCTTAGCGGGTGAGAGGGTGGAGCCAGGTGAACACCCAGAGCTCTCCCACTTGTTGAGCTCCGCAGAGGTTGGTGGACGCCTGAGATGGGGCAGCGAGGGCTTCTCTTTGAGGAGGTAGCACTTGACCTGGAAGAGGAGCCCACGAAGAAGCTTCCAAGTGTAGGGAGCGGCAAGTGCGAGGCCCTGAGGCAGCGAAGAGCTTGGGGAAATGCTGTTCTTCTCATTATATGGAAGTCCCTGCTTATCCTCCACCCTAGAAATGGGAATGAAACACAGGTAGGGCCAGGTGTGGTGGTACACACTTATGATCTCAATGCTCAGGGAGGCTGAGGCAGGCAGGTTGAAAGTTCAAGCCCAGCCTGGGCAGCCTTCTGACTCAGCAAGACCTTGTCTCAAAATGTACAAAAAAAAAAAAAATTTAAAAGGGGCTGGGAATGGAGTTCAGTGAGAAGACCCTGTGTTCAATCCCCAGTACCACACACACACCAAAAAAGAAAAAAAAGAAAAAAAAAAACCCACAAATTAAGCCTTATAGACCAATTCCTGCTGACTCACCTAAGACAGCTTGGCAGGGTGTTTCCCCTGGGTCTTGGAGCTGAGGTCACATGTAGACCCTCCTGCCTCATCCTCCCTTGCTGACCCTACTGTCCCCTGGGTCCTACTGTGTGTGCCATGAAGAACCCTGCACAGGGACCCCCACTGCCAGCTTGTCTGGACAGCTTGCTCTGCTGCTTCTCCCCTGTCTTTCCGTTGAAGGTGAACTTCCCACATGTCCAGCTGCCAGTAAATCATTTTTGGTTGCTTGTTAACTCATAATGTGAGAGGGAACTGTCCCTCCCAATGCTGCTCCATGGGTGTTCTTAAGGACCCTGGAGCAGAGGTGACATCAAGTGTCACCTGCAGACGTAGCCACTTAAGCACCATCACTTACCTCCTAGTAGCCTTGGGAAGTTGTTACACAGGGGAGCAAAGTTGTACACTCAAGGGAGCTTCATGGTTTGGACCTCTGTTGTAACTTTGCAGTGTTGGTTTTCTCTTTAAAGCAGTGGTCCCCAGGGACCAGGGAACACAGTTTTTCCACAGATAGGGGAAGGATCATTGTTTAGTTGGTTTAATATTAGGCTATGCTTGCGATCCATAATAATTACACTCCCCAGTGCTAGCATCACCGCCTCAGCCCTACCTCAGATCACCAGGCATTAGATTATCATAAGGAGCAGCAGCCTAGATCTCTCACACATGCAGTTCACAGTAGGGCTTGAGCTCCTGTGAGAGTCTCATGTGCTGCTGATCTGACAGGAAGTGGAGTTCATGCAATGGTACCTTCAGAGTAGCTGGAAATACAACTGAAGCTTCAATCACCCACCCCTCTCTTCCTGCTGTGTGATTCAGGTCCTAACAGGCTATGGACCAGTACCTGGGGGTTAGACACCGCAGGTTTAAAACATTCACCATCTATAGCTCTTGTAAAGGGTGATGGAGGTCTTAGCCACTTTCTTTGTCAATGGCACAAAACACCTGACACTAGCGACGTAAAGGAGGAGAGGGGAACTTTGGCTCATGGCTTGTGTGGTTTCAGCCCATTGTCAGCCAGGTCCGAGGCAGGGCTGCATGGCAGAGGAGCCTGATGAGGAGAAGCTGCTTGTGGCACGGCAGCAGAAAGCAGAGAGAGAAGGGAGGGTCTGGGGAGGGAGACAGACCCTTCCAGGCCACACTTCCAGTGACCACCTCTTCTGACCCCTCCAAATAGCCATCAGCTATAAGCCTCGTGATCCAATCACCTTCCAAATCCCCACCTACCAGCACCTGAGGCCCTCTAGATATGAAGTATAATATGAAGCATTATTTGTAAAGATAAAATTCCCTTGCGTGGTACACCACAAGTTGTCCCCACATGTGAACTCAGTGAGGAAGGACAAGAAATCCCAAGCTTTCCTCACCTCTCAGCTGCCGAAATGAGGGGGCTTGGCCATCTCTGTGATGGATGGCGGGGCTGATGGAGTCGCTTCCAGCCAACACGAGGAGTGCGTGATGAGGGTGTTGGTGCTTTGTCCCAACCTGAGGCATAAGACCGGTGAGGCTAAGCCACAGGCGCAGGGTCGCCTAGCGGGAGGGGAAGGGTCAGTCCCACCACTCAGTGTGTTGTCACTCTGAGGCTTTGCGTCCTCAAATATAATCACCCCAATTAAGGTCTGCAAAGGCCTGACAACTTTGTATCTAAAGCACAAAATCTGAGTCCATTTTTCCTGGGAAAATTGAACAAAGAAAACAGCGCAGTGTGTAGCCTTCCTTCCTTCCTGCCTAACTGTGGCCTCCGTCCTCACAGGGAGGTAACAAGGTTTCCCCTGGTGGGTGCGACCCAAGCCTTCATGCGTAAGTTCAAAGCACCATGGAGAGCAGAGGCCTCGTGGCCTCACACAAGGGACACATTCTTTGGTCTGCAGAAGCTCCTGCCTTGAGATGCAACAGGGATGGCCGTGTCACGTCCAGGACGGGGTGGGAGTCGAACCACAGCTCTCGTGGGTGCTCAGGGGACCATCACAGAGTCTCACTGTACCGTTCCTTGCTCTTTCAGAGATCTTTGACCTCGAAATGAACGAACACGTGCAGAGGGCTGTCAGTGACCGGCAGATGCCTAAAATAGAGTACAGGAGAATCGAGGTCGATGACTACAGTGAGTGCAACTCTTTTTCCCTTGAAAAGAAATGTAAGCCAGGCAGGGTGGCCCATGCCTATAATCCCAGCATTCTGAGAGGCTGAGGCAGGAGGATCATGAGTCTGGGTTCAGCCTTGGCAACTTAGTGCCTTAGTAAGACTGTCTCAAAATAAAATTTAACTCAGTGTGAAGGGTTTGGATTTGATCCCCAGTACTACAAAAAAATACAAATTTGAAAAGGAAAGCGGAGGTGTGCTCTGAGATAGCCCCAGTCAGCCCTGACAGCCGGGCACAGGACACACCCACCAGAGAGGCCGACAGGTTAGGAAAGATCTCAGCTGGAACTGTCCTTGTCCCCGTGCTCACACCGCCCTGGGAAGGACACTCACGGACGTCCCCGCCACTGCAGCGCCTGCCTCTGCCAGCTGGCTCTGGGCAACAACAGCTTTCTTGCAGCTGGAGAGACATACGAGGTGCGTGCTGTGGCAGCCTGAGGGGGCCGTCACTCTGCTCTGGTGCCTGTGAGCAGCAGCTCTGCACGAGGCGCTCAGACCGCGGTGTGGGCTGGCACCGCCTCCTGGCTGCCGGGCAGCACGGGCCTCCCAGTACCACACCTCTTACCTCCACTTTGACAACTCCCTGTGCATCGGGCAGGCAGCGCTCGCCCCGGAAACCCCAGGGGCAACGCCCAGGACATCCCTCGATGCGCCCCAGCCTGGCACCCACCTCTGTGCACAGTAGTCCCACCCCACGTCCCTGGGGCGGGGTCCCGCAGGGCTCTCTGCAGGCGTGGGACAGGACGGGCCCGTCCAGAGCAGGGGCATTGGGAAGAGGGGCACTGCGCAGGAGGACCGGGGTGGCCCTCCCTTGCCAAGCCGCTCCCGCAGTCTGTCCCCTGTCCATGCAAAGGGACCCTGGGTTCGCTTGTTTGGCCGTGCGAAGCCAGTCTCCGCTGGAACCTGTCCTCACGCCCCCAAACACACACCACGGCCCTGGGGCATGGAAAGTCACCCCCACTCAGTCTTCCCTTGCAGATACCCCGGAAGCGAATGCTCTGCACAGGGGGCAACAGAGAAGATATGTAAGGGTCCCCAGGACAGAGGAGCCCAAGCAAGACTATGACGGTCTGCTTGTTCCTAGAAGATGCTCCTCTGCCCAGCCCTGGGGCAGGGACCGCTTCCCCGAGCGCCTCTCCTGGTTCCACGGCCCCGTCCTCCCCACCAGCTCTGCTCCCCGCTGTCCCGCAGCTTTCCCAAAGCTGGCCACATCCATTTGCAGACAGTACCTGCCATACAGCACAGGAGCTCACCGCAGCCCCTCCCGGCCACCAGCCACTGCTGGGACGGTGGCCTGGAGGTTCAGGCGCCTGGAGAGAGCGGTGGACAGCAGGGGCCGGAACGCGGCCTCCCCAGCCTCTCAGTGGCCCAGACCTCCCCACACACATCTTGTGGATATTTAAATAAAATCCCCTGCCTGCCTCTCCACCTGCCCCTGGGCCACTGGTACAGTCTGCAAGCCATTAATGTTCACCCCGGGTCAGGGATGAGCAGCTGCCAGGCCTGGGTGTGTGTGCTCAGGAACCTGGGTTGTAACTTCAGTAAGGAAATCCTAACTTGGGAAGAAGCTTGGTCTTGCTACATAGTTCAGACTGGCCTTGAACTCACAATGATCCTCCTGCCTCAGCCTCCCAAGCTAGGGCTACCGGCGTGCGCCACCATGTATGGCTAAGGAGAAGCAATTTCTCAAGACCTGATTCTTCCTCCTCCCTTCCCCCTCTGCATCTCACACTGCCAAGGACCAAACTCAGTGACCCTGGCGGGAGCAAGGCTCCTCTCTCTGGCTCCAGCAGACGGTTATGTCTACCCAGCTCCTGCCTACAGAGCCACTGGGCTGGGCGAGCTCCTCAGTACGCTGTTACCTGTCCAGCACCTCGGCCCCGATCCCTGGTCACCTGCCCACCCCAAACCACTGCTCCAGTACCAAGCCCCAGGATGTGGTGCACACAGCAGTGGGTGCTGTCAGGACCCTTGGGGCCTCCCGCTCGCTGTGTGCATTTCCACTGCCGGTGCATCCTGGTCTCCCTGGGCTCACGCATGAGTGGCAGAATTTAAGCTTCAGGTGAGAAGCACAGCCTCAGGAAGGCAGGGTGATGCGCCCAAGAGCACACACGCCGGCCACTGCACTGACTGTGGACTTCCCACCCAGGCCTTCCCAGTGTCCACAGCCCCCACCCAGGGACACAGACGCCCCTGCCCTCTGCCCCGCGCCCTAACCTGGCTGTTGGTCTCTCCCCAGACTTGCCGGTGCAGATCCTGAAGCCGGCCACCTTCACGGACACGTCCCACTACCCCTTGCTGCTGGTGGTGTAAGTATCCTGCCATCGTTCCCCGCAGGTGCTCTTCATAACCCTGGGACCCCAGCAGTGGAAGCAGAGGGGTTGCCTGCCCTTCTCTCTGCTCCGGCAGCTCTGCTTCAAGGAGAGGAGCTCACCCAGTGCTGCCTGGGAGGAAGCAGTGGCCAGAGCTCAGGGAGCCAAAAAGGCCCCTTATTGCAGGGCAGCCTGACCTGGAGGCCGGTTGGCCTGTTACCTGTGGGAGCCTAAGCAGCATCCCCGGTGGCCTCCCCGAGCACCCGCTGTGTGCTGGAGGTGCCAGAGGCCTGTGTTTAGACTTCAGGACCAACCATCCAGGGCTCCGTCAGCACCCGGAAGCTGTGGAGTCCAGCTGGGTCCTTGGCACCCTGGGCACCTCCCCAGAAGGGGTTTCAAGTGCTAGCACCCAAGGCACATGGAGGGAGGGGCCATCAAGACGGTCACACTGTCCCCGTCCACCTTTGCCAGCCCTTCCCAGAGCGAGGGAGTGGTAGGAAGCATGGGGGGCGCCTGGGGGGCCGGGAGAGCAGAAGCCTCCCGGGCATCACAAGTCGCCCCCTGAGTGAGTGCCAGGTTACCCATGGAGCCCCAGGTGACCCTGACAGCTCGCCCTGCCGTCATCATCTTGGGCCCTTGTCCCTAAGTTACAAAGAACCTTAGGTGCAAAGATACCCATGGTTTAGATCTCAGTATCTCAGTCCATTTTGCGGTAACCCACTCCCCTGGATAGCTGGACTGACTTCACACTTCACCAACAATGCCCCAAAGCACACGAACACCTGCCATCCGCACACACACACACACACACACACACACACACACACCCTCACATCGCTGCTCTTCTCCCTTACCACATCAGATTCTCACAGCTTTCTAAGAAATGCTACAGACTTCAAAGCCAGCTTTCTCCCTGCACTTGGAGGTCTCCAGGGCTGAGGATCAATGGAACAGACTGACACACACACACACACACACACACACACACACACACACCCTCACATCGCTGCTCTTCTCCCTTACCACATCAGATTCTCACAGCTTTCTAAGAAATGCTACAGACTTCAAAGCCAGCTTTCTCCCTGCACTTGGAGGTCTCCAGGGATCATAAGAGAATCTGCAAAGCCTCTCAGTTTGCAAAACTACTCACTTTCCTTCCAGAAATAGCTGAGACGGGCATCCGAGGCAAGAGGAACACGGTCAGGGGCGACGAAAGTTCACCGTGTGTACAGATGGGCTGCTGCCTGCCTCGGGGGCCAGCCTGCAGGGCGTGTCTTTCTGCTTGTTTGTTTCTTGCTAGGACTTCACATGTGACAGCAAGGAGACTTGGGGAGCCTAAGACTCCAAAAATAATAGATCAGTGGTGGCTGCTTAAAACACAAAAATGCGAAAGGAACCAGAACCCACGCTTCACAGAGCGCAATCTCATGCCGCACACAGGCCCTTCAGCCTCCAGCCCCTGGCTGCAGCTCTCTCGGCTGCACGCTCCCCTCCAGCACCCCACCTCACCCATGCCCCGCAGTCCTCGCAGAAAGCCAGCTCCCCGGAGAGAAGGTTTGCGAGTCCTGGCAGCCCTGCCTTTGGAAGGAGCGTGGCCATCTGTGGCCAGCCCCGGACCATCTCTCTCTTCCTCATCCTTCCCCTCCAAGGGGAAATGCAGTCATGGCAGTGTCATGGCGTTTTGGTCAGTGACAGGCCGTGCAGATAACAGAGGTCCCGTAAGGTTACATCACCTCGTGACGCCGCAGCAGTCTTGGCATGTGTGAGCGCGCTCTGTGAAGTTCACATGACAAAATCACCAACAGCGCGCCCTCAGAATGTAGCCCTGTCACGAAGGGATATGGTCAGAAAACCTCTGTGTGAGAGGCAGGAGAATCACAAGTTCAAGCCCAGCCTGCACAGCTCAGCAATTCACTGAGAGAGACCTTGTCACACAATAGAAAGTAAAAATGGACCGGGAACATAGCTCAATGCAAAAGCCCTGGGTCCAATCCCCTGTATTGCAGAAAAATTAAAAGAGAAAGCCTCTGACCCCTCTTCTGGGCCTGGCTTTATTTATCACGGCTTCCCGAGAGCCCCAGGTCACAGCCGTGTCACATGTGCCGTTTACAAATTAACCGTGGGAGAGAGAATTTCTGCAGAGCCAGGTGGGGCACACGGAACGGAGCTGCCATGTTCTTGGCACCCGTGTGACACCCACTGAGGGGAGAAGCCTGCAACCGAGAGCCCACCGGAAAGACAGGAGCCCACGGGCTGGGTTAGCACCCAAAGCAGTGGGAGGCGGGGTTGCGGTTTCCCAAACAGATGGCTCCGGTGGCCAGGTAGAGCTGAGGTCCCCGGGGCAGAGCCGTGAGACATGGTGTGGGCCGCACTGTGAGGCCCGACCGTCTCTTCCAGGGACGGCACTCCGGGCAGCCAGAGCGTGGCCGAGAGGTTCCAGGTGACGTGGGAGACAGTGCTGGTGAGCAGCCACGGGGCCGTGGTGGTCAAATGCGACGGCCGAGGCAGCGGCTTCCAGGGCACCAAGCTCCTGCAGGAAGTGAGGAGGCGGCTGGGCTCGCTGGAGGAGAAGGACCAGATGGAGGCCATGCGGTGAGCTGGGGTCCTCTGTCTGGGGCCGCCGGCACCGGCCAGGGCACCCGCATCTCTGCTAGCTGTCACCAGAGGAGACAGGGGCCACAGGGAGGGAAGGACAGAGAGTGCAGACGGTCCGCCATTGCTGGGCACATCTGGGCAGTGGGGAGAGACGCACCCAGATTTGGGGGATCTTCCCTACACCCTGCTCACCACGCCAGCCAGACACACCTGGGCCCCTGAGGACAGAGAGAGCTTGGTGCTGGGGTGGGGCTCACAGGAAGTCCCTGGACCGCACTGTTGTCTGGAAAGAAAAGGACAAGAACCCAGGTCAGGCAGCCACAGGCCTTGGACCTGTGCAGGCCTCAGAGCTGAGTGTGACTCCCGGAGAGCCGCGTGGAGCACTCTCCCATCAAGCACAGATGCAGGTGCTTGGGGTGAAAGAGGGGAGGAGAAGCACACGTGACGGGGCCGTGATGACAACGGCTTCCCCACCCTGGAGTGCGCATGCGGAGAACACAGAGCCCCCTGGTGAGTCCGGCACCGCAAAGAACGTGCGTGTCAGCAGGGTCTCTGCGCTGGCCTGGCCCGCATCCTCTGCCATGAAGAGTTTCTTTTCGGAGCACTGTCCCCTTGTTTATCAGAAGACTGAGTCACTGGCACGTGGCCAATGACTTTAAACGCATCTCAGAGTGGTGGGGGAGAGGCATCCTCCCCCAGGAGTTATGGTCCTGGTGGAAAGTGACAAAGCAAGGCCTTCAAAGCCTGTGTGCTACAGACAGGAGACGCAGTGGGCAGAGTGGGCCACCCGCACCAGGGAGGGGACGGCCGGGCCAGCAGCCTGTGGGGGCGCCGCAGGTCCTTCTCCTCCTTGCCCCACCTGCTCTGACTCCTCCACTGGGGCTCGTGGAGCCCAGGTATCCTCTCAGCTCCACGGGTCCCCAGGAGCCCAGACACAGGGCGAGAGGCTGCGTCTTCAACGTACACAAAATCAAACCCGAGGAGTGGGCCCAGCACGTGCTCAAACACAGGATGGAACCTCTTCTAGGAAACAGTTGTCGGGTCACCTGAATCACAGACGCTCACGGCACCAGAACCCGGGGCAAATTCAGGTTAGGAATCAGAAACAACGCCGGCACCCAACCGTCTCCAGCCAGAGAAGCCTTAACGAAGCCCCCTTAGGAAATGCTTATTCCATGGGGAGCAACGGCCGTTTTAGCAGGTTAAAGCTGTGCGGCCAGAAATCACAGCATGCCCCACAGCTCCCTAACGTGTCCCCCATCCTCCCTCCTCGCCCTTTCCCCCCGCACCACTTCCTGTCAGCGGGGACCAAGCAGAGGCTCCCGCGCCAGCAAGCGGGAGAGTGGTGGAGCCCCTGGGGTGGGCCCGGGCGAGCCGCTCAGACCTGCACCGCAGTGCCAGAAGCCAGCAGGCCCGTTCCCAGGAGTGCCGGGGGCCGGGATCTTTCAGGAAGCTGCCAGCTAGGAAATGGGAGAGTCCACTCCAGAGACCGCTGGGAAGGAGGCAAGGAGAGCGACGGCCCAGCCTCGGGCACAGTGACACACACAGTGGTGGGCGTGGGGAGCGGAGGGAAAGGAGAAGGCCTGGGGGCTGTGGAGGGCGGCAGGTGAGGTGGGCACACAGCCTCTGGGAGGTGCAAGGAAGGGAACGGCAGCCTCGCCTCCCTCCCACTGCACCCTGCTTGGCTCCCCTGGGCGGGAGCAGCCAGCAAATACAGGGCACCCAAGCCCTTGGCCAGTGCCCGCCCTGGCCCCAGTCAAGCAGAAGGAGCACCTCGGCCCCTTCACACCCACCTCTGCCTGCCCTGGGTCCCCGTGTCTCACAGCTCCAGCGCTGGCTCAGACACATGATGCCACCAGGAGGCTGCGCAGCCTGAAAGCCAGCGCAAGGCTTTGTCGTCCTGGTCCTTGCTGCATCCTGGCGCCGTGGGCAGCTCTGCCCGGGCAGCACGCTGAGCGTCCGCAGCAGGCCGTGCCCTGTCATCACCCTCACTGCTGTCTCAGCACCCTCCCTCCCCCACGGCCGTCCCACTTCTGAAAGGTGTGTTTGTCCACGTCATCCGGGCCTCCTTCCACCTGGGCCCGGGACGGAGCTCAGCACTCACTAGACCAGATGCCCTGATCAGCGCTGGCCACTGCTCAGTGTCCTCAGCGCACCCGCTCGTGAGCAGCACATCCTGCAAAAGGGCCCAGATCCCCTCACCCCGGGCCCCGCCCCCAGGACAGTCGTCTACGGCGACCGCTCCACAGGTCAGTGGAGACACAGCCACGAGGCAAGAGGTGTGGCTGACCGTGGGGGAAGCGGAGGTGCGGGGCACTGCAGGCCCCGCGGGGGGTCATGGCCAGGTCTGTGTCCTTCCTCTGGAGGTGCAGGCACACACGCTGGGAGAGGGCTGGTCACAGACCCAGAAGCCGGCCCACAGTAGGACAGCGGGTTTCGCTCATCAGAAGGGGGTCCAAATGCAGCAAGTGCCCGCCTCACTCCGTCCGGGACTTTCACCCCCTCCACCTGTGTCCCGGCCGTTGTGACCTGCATGGACGCATGGCCAGGGAGGCAGAGTCCTTGCAGACAAGGCTGACTGATCTTGCCATGGCTGACTATGCCAAAACACTGTCCCCAGTAGACTTCTGTGTGGGGGGCCTGGAGGACGGGGATGAAATCCAAGAACATGAAGAAAGTATTCGTGGAGCCCCAATACATGGTGGACTTGCCAGCCTGTGACTAGGGCCTGTGTGTGTGTGCAGGTATGCACGACCTAGTGTGCCCACATATGTAGTGTGTCTGCATGTATAGGTGTGCATGGCCTAGAGCAGTGATGCTGAACCTTTTAGAGCTTTCGATGATAACGAACGGCCCACTGCAGCACGTCTCTGCCTGTGTAGGTGTGTGCGACCCGGGTATGCCTCTGTGTGGGGGTGTCTGTGTTCCCTGTAGCCCCCCGGGAGACCCCCACTGTGGCCTCGGACAGTCACATTCCCGATGGTCTCCTCCACACACAGTGAGGCGCTGCCATCCAAGCACACCACTGTCCTCCCCTTTCTGCTCCACTGGGATAGGGTGTCCCTGAGCTCAACATGGAATTTTGGTCACTATTGTCCCTTGTTGGGTCTGCGAGCACACGTGAGTGAACACACAGCACACGCATGCACAGCACATACAAGCATTCACACACACACGGTACCCACACACCCCAGTTCCTGGGCCAGTTGTGGAAATACGTCTTCTTTCTCACTCATTCATTCCTATCCTGGAAATGCCTGAAACGTCATTTCTCTGTCCCCAAACTTGGCACAAGAGTCTGGCTAGAGGGGCTGGGGATTTAGCTCAGTGGCACAGCACCTGCCTGGCAAGTGCAATGTCGTGAGTTCGATTCCCGGTACCGGGAAAAAAAAAAAAAAACAAAGAAAAAGAGTCTAGCTAGATAGGAAATCTAGGCAAAAACAGTTTCTGTCCAGAATGTCCTGGAGCCTTGGGTTCTGCTGGGTAAAACTACATCCTTGCCCGTGCTGACTTTGAGGACAGAGGCTGCTGGGAGTCAAAGCCTCTTGGAGAGACTTCTCAATGCTGGTGCCCAAGACCTGCCTCGGGGCCTTCCAAGGGGCAGATACTCGGGGAATGGAACAAGAAGAGAAGAGGAAGAGGGAATTGGAAGAGGGTTACACAGAGGAGGAAGAAAAGGCCACTTCCCTGTTCCTCGCTCTCCACCAGACTTGTGAAATAGGAATCAAATTTAATAAAGGCACATGGACACCAACCCTCAGAAATAGCCTGGGGAAACCTGTTACATGAACGCAAGCAATGATGCCGTGAAGATACAAAGTCACTGGTGCTTTTACAATTCACAGAAGTCAAAGGAGCCACTGCCCGTGGGCGTCGTCACTCCATGCTGGGGCACCCCCTCCCATGTGTGTCCGTGTCCTCTGACAGCGACAGCAGTGCCGTCCTGACCATGAAGACTGCCAGGTCCCGGGACAGGCAGCCTGGGCTGGCCTCGAGCTTCACATCCCATGTGCCTGAGAAGGGGACGTGCAGTAGAGGAGGTCCCCACAGCAAGCAGAACCCAGGAGGAACTGGACAAGAGCCCCAAGCAGCGGAAGACTGAGGAGGACGGATAGGGTGGGCAGGGGCAGGAGGCCCTGTGGCTAGGGTTGGGGTCACGCTCAAGGTTGGGGTTAGGGTTAGGGTTAGGATTGCATTAGGGTTACAGTTAGGGGTTAGAGTCAGAGTCGGACGAGGGTTAGGGTTAAGGTTGTATTAGGTTTAGGGTTAGGGTTTAGGATTAAGGGTAAGTGCTAGGTTTAGGGTTGCAATAGGATTAGGTTAGGGCTAAATTTGGTTTAAGGCTTTGTTATGATTAGTGTTTTATTTACTTTTTCATTGCCGGGATAAAATACTCGACACTCACATGTTAAGAGAAGCTTCATTCAGCTCACTGTCTGTAGAGGCTTCAGTCCATGGTCAGCTCACTCCAAGGCCAGGCGGCATGGCACAGAAATGTGCCAAAGAGAAGCAGTCCTCAGCAGGGCAGACAGCAAGCAACTAGCGGGAGCAGGGAGCAGCAGGCAGTGGGCCTGCGGTCTTTCTTTTCTCTTTCATTCCGGCCAGGCTACAGGTCTTTGGGTGGCTGCTGTCTTCAGTTAATCAACTCAGCCTCACCCAGAACTATGCTAATTCCAATCGGTGGACTAGTTTAGTACCACACACCCTTAATCCCAGTATCACACACCCTAGATCCAGCCAGTTCCCAAAAGCTCCTCCTATGACCACACGAGGCTTTGGGGACCTGAGATACAAGCCATAAGAGTTAGGGCTTAGAGTTTAAGCTTAGGGTAGGGCTTAGGGTAGGACTATGTTAGAATGAGTCAGTTCCCAGTTGGGTTTAGAGGTTCAGAGCTAAGGTTAAGGTCAGGGTCAGGGGTAGGCTTAGGGTCTGGTCTGAGTTTTCAGAAAGCAGGTGGTTATTCCAAGCATCCGCCAGCAGGTGGCAGAACTGCTGCGAAACCAGCATCCGGTCCCTCTGGGGACACAGGGGCCACCATGAGGATTGCGTGGACATTGTGGGGCGGAAGATACCAGACCCAGTGACACCAGCCTGGACACTGGGTGGTCGCTCCCAAAAGCAGGGCCGAGGAAGGGAGCTCCCACACACTGTGCCCGCAGCCAAGTAGGACGAGGCAGAGGCCTCCACCAGGACGCCATGGGTGCTGAGCCCAGCAGTCGACTGTGGCCCAGAACCAGAGCCCCTCCGGCTGCTGCTGGCCTGGGAGGAGCACCCCACAGCCCACGTGCCTGGGAGTCACAGCCTCTGAGTGCGGGGCCACAGGGGCAGGTCACCAGGGTGGCCCTGAGCCCTGGGGATGCTGTGACTGCCCTGAATAAACAAAAGCAATGAGCTGTTGTATGAGCACCCCAAGACTCCTCCATTGTAAAGAGGGGTTCTCATGCCTGAAATGATTGGGGGTGGAGCTGTGGGCCTCGGGGTGCAAAGTCCCCCACCGATGGCCTGACCTTCCCATCTCCTCGCCCGCAGGACTATGCTGAAGGAGCAGTACATTGACAAGACGCGGGTGGCCGTGTTCGGGCAGGTGAGTCTCCTGTGCTCTCCCAGAGGCCTCTGCGGAGGGCCAGGGCTGCGTCCTGCCAGGGCTCCTCTGGTTCTTGGGGAAGTCTCGTCCGAGGTTGCGGGTGTGAGTCCTTCCCTGTGTTTTTGGTACTGGGGACTGAACCCCAGGCCTTTGAACTGAGTTGCCTCCCCAGCCCTTTTTGACTTTTTACTTTGACACACTAAGTCACTAAGTTCCCCGGTGTAGGCTCAAACTCGTGATCCGGCTGCAGGGTATGGTGGCTCCCGTCTGAAACCCCAGCACTTTAGACACTGAGGCAGGAGGATCGCTACAAGTTCAAGTGTAGCCTTAACTACAGAGTGAGACCCTGTCTCGGAAAAAAAAAAATAAAAATAAAAACAAAAATGAAATCATGACCTTCCTGCCTCAGCCTCCCAGAGTTGAGTCATTACTTTTCGGGAGCTCCCCTTGGTTTAGCTCACTTATCTCTGCTTCCTGAGGACAGGAGGGAGGACCCAGGTCCTGCTGGAGAGGGTTCCGCGGTGCCCTCCTCTGCAGGCTGCTAGGCTCTCACTGTGGTGCCGGAGGGGGAGGCAGGCGTCTGGCGCTGACATCCCTGTGTTTGCTGAGAGGCGTGGAGGAGGGGGTGACTCAGCCGCCTCCGCCCCGCACCCGCAGGGCAGAGAGTCACACGTGCACATGCTCACACGCCACACCCACGTGTGCTCATACACTCACACACACACTCACACACTTCTACATGTGCTCGCATTCACACATACTGCAGGCTTCCTCACACATGCACCTAGCCACACACCTGCTCGCACACCCACGTGTCCACGCGTGCACACAGGCGTGGCACCCAGCACACTCCCGGGGCTCACCCCTGCCTCGGGCTGCCCAGTCCTGCCTCCTGGCCCCAGCCTCTGCTGCTCTTGCCCCGGTCTTGGGAGACACTAGCACCTGTGACCCGAGCGTGTGTAGAAGAGGCTAGGGCCGCGCAGAAACGCAGGGCTCACCCCCCGCCGCAGCACCGGGCTGCTCCTGACTGGGGCGCTGGCCTTGGCCTCCCTCCAGTCGTGTCTGTGGCTGGCCTCGCCTGCAGAGGGGGCGCTGGAGCACGTGTGTGCCACGCGTTGCCCCGCAGCACGCCCATCTTCTGTCCCCTGGCGCTGTGCACAGAAGGCGGAGACCAGCCCAGAAGGCTGCCCTTGGCGCCTCTACCTACTGCCCTGGGAGAAACTTCACACTTACGGAATTCCTAAGAACCTCTCTGAAGCGTTGCCTGGTTCTCCGACCTTCTCGGGTCTGAGGCTGGTTTCGGTGAGTGCTGACACTGTCTCCCCGCTCTTCCCTGCGCTCCTCCCAGGACTACGGCGGGTACCTGAGCACCTACATCCTCCCGGCCAAGGGGGAAAACCAAGGGCAGATGTTCACCTGCGGCGCGGCCCTCTCGCCCATCACGGACTTCAAGCTCTACGGTAATGGGCTGCACAGACCGCGAGCACTGCCCCCGGCAGGGCCCGTTCCCCTCAGCACCTCCGTCCCCATCCCAGGTGACCCCCTGTTGGGCGTCCCAGTCCACCTGAACCCCCTGTCAAGCTCCCCCCATCCATGCCGAGAGCAGGTAGAACGAGGGAAGAGTCTTGAGTCGTTCACCTGGGATGAAAGCCGTGCACCCCGGAACACCTACAAATCATGCTGAGATGAAGCAGGCATTGTCCTGTTCGCTTAGGGCTCTGACTAGTGGATTGGTTCAGTTTTGCTCGATTGCAGTGCGGCTGTTCTGGTAAAAGCTAGCTTCCACCACTAACACATTTGGACTTGACCCCCATGCTGCCTGGTCATCCACTTGCTGGAGAAATGCAGGTGATGAGGTTTGCTAAAAGCCAGCATCCACCACACACGTGGCAGGGCCTACGTCCCAGTTGCACCCACCAGAGCCTGGGTGCTACATCCGGGCCCTTGAGGGCATGAGGTGACCCTCCCTCTGCTTCTGTCCAGCGTCTGCATTTTCCGAACGGTACCTGGGCCTCCACGGACTGGACAACAGGGCGTATGAGGTACGTGTGGCACAGCTGCCCCCGGGACTCTTTCCCCGTCCTTCTGCCCACCCTGCAGCCTGCCCTACTCGGCAGCAGCCCCCCTCCCGCTGGGCGGGGGCATCTCCCTCTAGCATCTCCCAAAGCTAGGGCCCCGGCGACTGTCCCCTCTCAGTGCGGCCAGTCCCTGCGGCAGGACTCGGAGGAGAAAACTGAGAGTCCTGCGCTGGGTGTGTGTCCCGGGCCCGAGAGGCGCTGGCTGTCCCTCAGGCGGTTGGGCTACGAATCCTCTGGGACAGGAAGCTCCTCTCCCGCTCCTGGCCACACCAAGCCATCCAGTGACCCAGTGAGATGTCAGACTGGCCTCCCAGCTAAGCACGGGACACCAGACTCAGGGGCCGCCAGGACTGTCCTCAAGCTGAGCCTGCTGGGTGGACAGAGGCCCTGCACCTGCTCAGGTGCCATTTCCAGGTGAAGGGGGCGTCTTCAGAGGCCACCTGACCTTGGAGGAGTCCTACGCCCTCCGTTGTCCTCCCAGCACCCTTTGGTCCGTGGGAGGATATGTATAAGGAAGGGGAAGCTGAGGCTTCCGTCCTGGATAACCATCATTCCGTCACGTTTCATTGTGATACAGAGACCACTGCCCTCCTGGGACTGATGTTTCCTAGACACTTCCCCTAGCTTGTGTCCACTTACCCGTCATGTGCCCTACAGTCCCTAATGCTGTCCCCTTGCCCACTGCGCAGATGACCAAGGTGGCCCACCGTGTGTCGGCGCTGGAAGGACAGCAGTTCCTCCTCATCCATGCCACCGCAGACGGTGAGGGCCCAGGGCCGCTGCCATGGGGGAAGGGTGCTCCCAGCGGGTCCGGTGTCTGATAAACCCTTGCCTCTTTTTTTTGCCTTTTTTACAGAAAAAATCCACTTCCAGCACACAGCAGAGCTCATCACACAGCTCATCAAGGAAAAGGCTAACTACAGCTTACAGGTACAGCCTGCACGTCTGCGGGTACAGCCAAGCCCTCTCGCTCCGCGCAGTCCCGCTGGGACTACCGACACCGTCAGGGCATCTGTGTCCGTCACACTCCCGTCACTGGGACACAGTCCCTGACACAGCTTACAGGAGGAGCGGCTTATTTCGGCTCACCGTAGGCAGAGGTTCAGTCCATAGTCGGCGGCTTCCAAGGCAGGGTGGCACACGGCAGAGGGGCAGGGTGGAGGAAGAGCTGCTCATGGCATGGCCACAGGAAGCGGAGAGGGAAAGGAGGAGGCGGGGAGGGCAGGTAAAGCCTTCCAGGTCATGCCCCAGTGACCGTCGCTTCCCACAGGACCCCGTCTCCCAAGTCAGCAGCAATGACCCATAAGCCAGTCACCTCCCCAAAGCCCAGCCTGTGATTGCCTGAGGCCCTGGGCACATCTGGATATAAACCAGGAGGGTCCCGGCACCATGCGCAACTCAGTGCCTGTCCGGGCCTCGCTGGCCTCAGCTACTGACTTCACACCGCAGACTTCTGTTTCCTCCTTGCGCCCCGGATCCTTTGGTAGAACCGGTGTGACCTGGTGGTGTTGAGGGTCCAGGAATAAATGAAACCTCAGCCAGGCCCTGTCCCCCTCAAGGAGGGGCTGCCGGGCTCTGACCACCACCTGGCTCTGTGTCCAGCATCCGAGGGACACATGCGTGCGGGCAGGTCAGGGCAAGAAAGGAGGGTGTCCCTGGCTTGATGAATGGGACAGGAGGACTTGGTTATGGGATATTTGAATTTGCTTCTGGAAAATGTAACAAAGAAGACAGTTGCCCTGGCACCGTGAATGCGTTTGGCACTCGGATGAAAGGTGCTTCCTGCCATGTGGGGTCACCCTGGGGTGCACACCGGGGCCTGAGCAGCAGGCCCGCCTGGAGCCACGCAGGAGGGCACAGCCGCGGCCTAGCAGACACAGAGCAAGTTTGTAGCCACAACCAGCTGCAGATGGGAGCACAGGGCACCAAAGGCAGAGGGGACAGATGTCCTGCTTTGCCCCCTTTTGCACACTCTGCCGTGCCATATACACACACCTCCCGACCGAATGGGTCATTAATGGAACGAAGGTGGAGGAAGAGCGGATTCCAACTGCAGGGCATCGGGGGTCACAGGAAGGACGACGCCAGGTCAGGCTGGGTCCCAAGAGCACAGGAAGCGGTGATACAGGGCCACCAGGTACAGGAACCAGGTACAGAGAATACTCTTCCCAGCCTTGGCATCAAGCTCAGACAGCGGTGTGAGCATGTGAGCCACCCTCCGTGTCCCCGCCTTGGAGAGCTTTGTAGGGGTTGCACCGTTATCCTCACAGAGCGCTGTGGTCCAGTTCTGGTGGGAGTGTCCTCTCACCAGCCACACCTGCGCCCGAGGCCCAGGAGCTGAGCGTGGCAGGGCCAGGACCCGAAGTCCCAGAACAACCCCACCACCACCAGATAGTGCGAATCCTTCCAGTGTAGACCGGACTTCTCGGCTAGAGCACAGATGCAGGCAGACAAGTCTAGACTGCAAGGAGCAATGTGCTTTCTAAACCAGTCTCTGTCCCCGCACGCCCATGCAGGGCAGGAGGAGAGCTGCTGGGGAAGCTGGCGGCCTTGTGACCAGAGGCTCCAGCCCCTACTGCAGCAGGCAGGGCTCAGGCTGAAGGCACCTCTCTATCTGGAGGCTGAAATGGTTAGGAAACTCATATGCAAATAAAACTCAGAGGTGTGTGGGCCTGGGTCCCCGGGAGGGAGGACGAGGCGCTAACGTCCCACTGCCTTCCTTGCAGATATACCCAGACGAAAGCCACTACTTCCACAGCCCCGCCCTCAAGCAGCACCTCTACCGGTCCATCACCAACTTCTTCGTGGAGTGCTTCAGGGTCCAGGACAAGCTCCCGACAGCCACCGCAAAAGAGGACGAGGAGGAGGACTAACTCGGGCAGCCCCGAGCACAGATGGCTCTCTCCACAGCAAGATGCGAAGAGGAATCTCCTGCCGCCCCTCTGCCCTCGGGGCGGGTGGGGCAGAGGCCCGGACCTTCCCTAGCATGTGTGTCTCGGATGCAGAGGGCGGTGTGGCAGGGAGAAGCGTCCCACGCAGCCCGGAACCCCCGTTCAGCACCACCTCCTCCTTTTGGCCCCACAGTGACAGGCACGCCCCACAGCCCTCCCCAGGGGACACAGCAAAGGACAGAGGGCAGTGAGGGCCACCTTGGAGCCCAAGAAGCCAGCCCTTGAGTTCAAGCGGCCAACGAGCAGCATTAGCCCCGCCCCTCTGCGTCCAGCACCACATTCCAGCACACAGCAGCCGTGCAAGGGCTCTGCGGTGGAAACCCCCAGGGGGACACGCAGAGCCGGGGTTCGGGCGTGCATGGTTAGAGCCCGGCCTGGCCCCTCTGTAATTAGGACCTCCGACCCGTTCGGGCTGCACCAAGAAAACAGACCCTTTCTGTACAAAGTATCACTGTAGCAATGCTAATGGTTCGCCGTCTAGAATTCATTCATGTCTGCCTATGTTTTAATCTGAGGAGCATTGTGTATGCTCCCGGGGTTGTTTGCTTGTGTTTCGCTTTTTGCTTTTTCTCTTCTTTTTTTTTCCCTGTTAATGCTTTGTTTCGCTTTCCACTTGCCATTTGTTTGGGTGGAGAAAGAGAGCTGAAGTCCCCGCTCCCTCCTCCCTGCTGTCCTCAGACTTGGTGGCATTTTAAACACCAAGGGGGAAGAACATCCGCTACTACCCAGGAACAGGAAACGTCCATAAACCCTCTCTCCCGCTGCGCTGCGTTAGGCTTTGTCTGTAGATCAACACTGTCCGTTCACATCTGTCCTTGAAACTGTCCTTTTCCTCCTTGGTGATCTGGCAAGTCTCGTCTGATGACATGTGGTTAACAAGTATGGAAAGACCGTGTCAGCGCACCGCGAGGCGTGCTGAGGAAGCTGGAGTCTCAGTCACAGAAATCCTACGCAAAGGCCTGAAGGCGCCCTCGCTATCCTGGGGGCAGGAAGGGTGACACTGGTCTCCGTCGGCCCTGTAAGATCCACGCTGACCGGATGTACAGCCGCTGTCTCCCATGTATATGTCATTTCGTTGTATATAAGAATGGAATGTGTGTCCAGCGTTTGTGATGCCCCCCTTGCATGTGGACACCGTGGCTGACCTGGACTCTAGAAGCATCAGCCTGGAATACATCAGTCCCCACCTTTTCCTTACGGGCTTGGTGACGGCCTGATTTCCAGCTTCTGGTCCTGCTGGGGGTGTCCTTGGCATCCTGTCTACAGAGGAGAAGTGTCCATATCGCTTTACGGTGTTGGGGGCTTTGTTCCATCCGTATGAGCTTTGAACACCAGCTCTAGCCAGGTCTGCGGGAGGAGCTCCGTCCCGGGGTGGCTCGGGGGTGACACTTGGCCGTGCGTGAAGAGGAGCCATGCGCTGGCCACCAGGACGGGTCTGCGTGCTGCCTGGCTGTGCTTCTGCTGTTCCAGTGAGGTCTGGATAGGGACGCCGGCTCTGGCCCCAAGACCTGGTCGGAGGGACGTGGGGATGTGGCATGGTAGCGTCTGTTCATCCATGGAATAAAACATTATTTTACCACTCGGACGGCTCTTTGCTGGCTTCTCCGCTGCCGAGTGCCCTCCCAGAGTGGATTAGCTGCCCTGGTCACCTTTCCTGGTCAGGACTCGGGAGAGCAGTGACCTTCTAAACACCAGAGCCGCAGAGGCCACAGCTCTCGTTCCCTGCCAGGGTCTCCGTGAGCTCCCGGCACCCCCACAGGCAGAGGCTGCCCGCGCTCCCCCCTTTCCCACATGGGTCTCTCCTGGGCAGGGACCGGTGCTGCAGGCAGGACCTGCAAGTGTACACAGGAAGAAGCGTTTTATCTTTGGAGGACACTGAGAACGGGCCACGACCCCCAGGATCCCACTTCTCACCGGGAAGACCCTCTGTCCTTCCCAGCTCTAGGATAGCTCTAGAGACACCTGGCAGGCAGGGGTCCCCCCAGGCCCCCAGCTGTGCCTCCGCATCTGTGGCCTGAGCCTCCAGCCTCCCCTGTGTGTTCAGGGACCTGGGTCCTCTGTCCCCTGCTTGACTGTCCCCGAAGGGCCAGACGGCAGACGGGCCTTATTTATTTTCCACCCACACTGCAGAGAGAATCCTGAGTCACAGGGAGCAGGTGAAAACCCTGGGGGCAGCACCTCCCAGGGCCTGAGTCTCTTCTGGGCAGGCAGGGCCACCTTCTGCGTGCTGGGTCCTCTTCTGCGAGCCTCAGGTCTGGAGTGGCAACTCCCGCCTGAAGCTGCTCACCAGCACCACGCCAGCAGAAACCCTACAGTCCGCCCCACGGGGCCGCCACACCCTGCCCTCCTGCGCTGTCTCCCTCCTCCCCTGGATTTTCTGGGGATGGGGTTAGGCAGGACCAGCCGGCTTGGGTGGAGCTGCAGAACCTGTGCTCTGGGAGAGAGGATGCCGTGGGGAACTCTCCAGGTCTTCCAAGGGCTCCTTGGGGACCCAGAGCCACCTTGGAAGCCTGGGGTCCACACCCAGGGCCCTGAGAGTCCTGTGGCTGGAGCTGGGTCTGGGAAGTGCCCCGAGGTGGACAGAGCCCTGCGCTGTGGCAGCAGGCGAGGACTGCCCAGCGGTCCCAGCTCTCCCAGGGCCCTGGCTCCAGGCTGGGGTGGCCCAGAGGCTGCAGTGCTTGATGGAACAGCAGGTGTGAAGCATGGGGTGAGGGCCCTCACCACTGCCCAGACCCCGTCTTCCCTGGAGGTCCACGAGGCCAGGGGAATGCGGCTCCCTGGAGTTCATGCCAATATTCCCTCTGGGCAAGAGTGGACTTTGCAGTTGTTGCTTTGAGACAAGGTCTCACAATGGTAGCGCAGGCTGGCCTCAAACTCACAGAGATCCTCCTACCTCAGCCTCGCTGGTACTGAGATTACAGGCGTGCACCCCCCACAGCTCCAAGAGTCGTATTTTTTAAAATAAGTGATAACTACTATAAATTCCTTAACTTGAAGAGAAAAATGTACCCAGAATGCCGCCAGTTCAGTTTCTGGCCACGTGGAGACGGCAGGCCCTTTCTGGCTTCCAGTGCACCAGCAGGTGTGTGGTTTTGTGAAGAATCCCGCTCATGGGCAGCTTAGTGTTTTCAAAGGGTGAGAATGATCGTGTGCAGAATGCCTACCTGCTTGAAGACAGAGCTGAGTGACGGTGAGGATCCCCCACTGCAGCCACCAAGGAGCCCACGGTCCTGAGCAGGGACAGGTGTGTGCCGGGAAAGGCCTCTCTCCACGGGAGGAAAAAGAGAGAAACCCCTGGCCTGTGGGCATGGCCTGTTCCCAAGGTGCCAATATCCCCACAGCGGCCGATTTCGGATGGCTAATGGGCATCAGGCTCAGTCCCTGCCAAGGCACTGTGGTCAGCACCTAACACCGGGGCCTGATGAGTGGGGGGCGGGGCTCCACACAGCCCCTCCTCCCAGGGCAGACCTTGATGAAGGGGACTGATCGCTTCCATCCCTGTGACAGCCCCCACCTCCTGCCTGGAGGAGGGTTGAGCCCTCTGCCGGGAGCAGGGCGTGCAGGGAGAAGAAAGAGGCGCTCCAGGCCAGGCCTGGCTGTGCTGAGCCCCCAGCAGGGGGCCGGCAGAGGGACCAGGGCAGTGACCGCAGGACAGCGCACGCGGCACCCAGACCCCGCAGCAAGCTCACCTGCGCCCTCCAGCTCGTGCATAATTCATCAGGCCCCGAACATTAAAGGCACTGCAGCTGTTAGCAATCCAGCGTGACCTGCAAACGTTTCTTCAATTATTCAGTCACCGGGCTGGGGAACTCACCCACTCGCAAAGCTGCGCTTTATAAAGTATCAATTACAGCCCAGCGGCGGGGCGAGCTCCTGCTGCCTGAGAGGGTCTCACCCCCCTTGCCCCTCTCTCCCGCCCTCTCCCTTTTCTTTACTCTGCCTCTCCCTTTCTTCCCTTCCCTCCTCCTGTCTCTCCCCGTCTCTCTAGGGGTCTGGAGCCCCAAAGCTGCAGTGATGGGGGGTGGCAGGTCGGAGGAGGCAGGCCTTCAGATCCGGGGGCTCTGGTGCGAGGCGGGTCCACCTCCACTCACCTGCGGTGTGACTCCAGCAACTCGCGGTCCTTCTGACCTTCCCTCCACTATTTATGAAAATGAGTGTGGCCCTGAGTCCCACAAAGGAGGCAGCTGGGACAACAGAGTCCCGGAGGCTGGACAGTCCCCTCCTCCGACACACACAAAGTGCTAGAGAAGGACCTGTCCCAACCCCACCCAGCTTCCACCGGCCCCTGGCTTGTGGCCCCACCGCACCAGCCTTGGCACCCCTGTGTGACCTCAGTCCACATCTCCCTCATGGAAAGACACCCGTCACGTTAGGTCAGCGCCTCCCACCAGACCTCACTGTCCTCGGTCACCTCTGCACAAACCGTCCTGAAATCAGGTCACACACACAGGCACTGCCGGGGAGGCCGCCAGCAATCCAGCCCAGCCACCTCCTTCCAGGGTTAACCTGGCCTGCGGGGTGGGGGAACAAGTCCGCCCGCCTGCTCTTCAGAGGTCTGCACTTGAAATTCAGAACCATTATGGTGATCTCTCAAGATCTCATGTAACACTTGGGGTATACAAAGTGTGATTCAAAGGTATGGTGATCGGTGAACGTTCTCAGTGTTAGAAATACTACAGTAAAAGACACACCGCCATGAACCCCCTCAAACGACTCCCTCACTCCACACATATTTATCCCATCATTCCTGCCACGTTGTTTTGAGATAGGGTCTCACTTTGTAGGGCAGATTGGCCTTGAACTCCCTATGTAGCTCAGGCTGGCCTGGAATTCAGGGGTATCCTCCTGCCTCTGCCTCCCACAGTGCTGGGATTACAGGTGTGCCTCACCTCCTGCCACTTTCTGAAGCAGTGCTTAAGTCCTCTTCCAGAGCGTCCGTATGAGGTGTGACACGCAGGGACTGCCGCGGCCACACCCCCTGCGGCAAGGCAGGCGGCAAACACGTCGCCGTGTCCTTGCTCGCCTGTGTTCTGGCGCCCCATGACTTCTGACTCTTCTGCAAAGGCCAAACGACCAGGAGGCAAAAAGGCAATGTTTTGAATCAGGTCGGGACACTGAGGCAGCCAGGACAGCGCAACCGGAGGCACGAGAAGCCCACTCCGAACTCGCAGCAGAGTCGCTGGTGGCCGAGGAGCGGCCCCTCGGGGTGAGGGCTCCGTGGTCCAAAGCAGAGCTGTGTGTGTGCCCGGCCCTGGGCTAGTCTGGAGAGCACAAGTCAGGCCCGAGGTCGGGGAGCTGTCCCTCTCCTGCCTGTCAGCTGAGAGCCGCCAGCAGAGGGCAGCAAAGGCCACGCTCCCGTCACATCTCTTCATAGTCGGAAGGGCTGGGGCCCCGGAGCAGAGACTAGGGCACCGCCTCCCGGAGCCCACACGGGAGCCGCTAAGACAGCAGGACGAGGAGCACCAGGGGGGCCCAGCAGTCACCGTCACACTAACGCAGGGCGGGCGGGGACCGAGGGCCAGGCTCAGGAGCAGGAGGGCTGGGCAGAGGGGTCTTGGCCGGGGCGCTGGGCAGCTGCAGGCACAGAGTGCCCAAGGCACACTGCTGGGCCTCGGCAGGTACAGTGCTGGGGAGTGGGGGCACCAGGACGCTCCCCCTCCCCTCCCACAGCATCCCGGGGGCAGCGACCCTGGTATCCTCAGAAGGCACCAGTGCGGAGAGCCCCACCCCTCTGCACCTGGAAGGGTGCATCTGTCTCAGCGGAAGGTGCTGGGAACGGCCCACAGCCTTCACCGGGGTCAGGGCCCAGCCTGGCCGTCACCGCCCTGACAGAGCAGCTGGAGCTGAAGCTGTGGCGGGAACCTGGAGAAACCGCGTCCCACCGGGGCCTGGGACCCACAGGACGAGACACACAAACGCACCCCGCACGCTGAGTCACGGGGCGCCCAGGGCTGGTGGGCCGATGGGCCTCTCAGACTGAGGTACGACTGGGGGCTCAGGGTGTCAGAACCTGCACTGGAGCCCCCCCCCCCAGGCTCCCGGTGCCCAGGGATGCGGGCTGAGAGCAGGCCGTGCACTGGCTCTTAACTCTTACGTAAACTACAAGGGGCAAGAAAATGAACTAGGGGAATGAAGAAAAATCCCCACATTCACGTTAAAAGCAAATGCTAGCATTCTGAGAGGCTGAGGCAGGAGGATCACAAGTTCCGGCCTAGCCTGGACAACTTAATGACATAGCAAGACCCTGTCTCAAAATAAAAACTAAAAAAGGACTGGGGATATAGCTCAGTGCAAAGGCCCTGGGTTCAGTCTTCAGTCACACACAAACACATACGTACAAATTTGCGTTCAAACCCAGGGCTGCGTCTTCAGAGTCCTGGTCTTAAATGTGTGCCTCCATTCCATTCCTACAGCAAGGTGCCAGAGAGCCCGTGGGGCACCCGAGCAGGCCAGCCCTGGGATCACAGCTGCCCGCATGCCTCTCCAGGACAAGCAATGTGCTCCCCACGTCCCTCACCAGGGCTGACTGGGGCCGCCTGCCCCGGACGGTCTCCGGCAGCCCGAGGGAGTGGCGCTCTGACAGTCTCGGAGTCAGCCGGCCACCAGCCTCTCTTTGGTGGCACTGTGGGCATCACTGCAAGGGGGCTGCTCCGTTCGCTCTGCTCCTTGGTCCCCAGGCGGCAAGTGACAGTGCTGCTTTGTTCAGTTTGCTAAAAGGAGGAATTCTGCAACCCTGTGAGAGGCATTTGGGGCTTGGTGCAGAAATGAGCAATTCTGCGGCCAGCTCTTAAGCTCATATACTTCTGCACCCAAGCCCGGTAACTTGCTTCTATTACACACAGCTACAGACTTTCAAATGTTCGATTTTTCCTGAGGGAAATGCACGCGTGTGCACGCGTGCATGTGTACGTGTGCATGCGTGTGTGCGCACATGTGTGTGCGTGCACGCACTGTTCACAGGTGACAGAACAGGGAACACACATTCCTCTCCAGATAACTTTCCGTATGGAGACACTGCGCTGAGGAAGAGCACACCCCCTGCTAACGCTGAGGCCCTCCCCACGGGGCCACCCCAAAACACCAGATGATCACAGTCACGAGGAGGACCACAGTCACATGCAACTTCTGCATTAGGAAACACCTGAAACAGAGGACACTGAAATAAAGGCCAAATACTTTGCATGCATACACGAAACAACGTTCATCGGTGATAGACAAACAGTGAGAATATTCAAGACAACTGCGACCCCCAGGAAGGTTTCTGTGCCGGGGTCTGCAGTACTGTTTGTGAGCCCTCCTCAGGCAATCCAGACACTGGCACGGAGGGAAGACTCAACGCTGCCACGTCTCTTTGGCTACACAGTGCACCTCGTTTCACAAACTCAATTCTCTCCGCGATGCTGGTAGCAAACCGAACTGGACGAGAACCGAATCAAACTGCGCCACAAGCTCAACAGTGAACCTAACCAGTGAATTTGAGTTGGTTCCTGTCCAAATCGGTCTGCAGCCAGAATCATGGAGAATTGAGTTCGTGAACTGAGGGGCCACTGTAGTAGCCAAGTCAGAGACAATGGCACCAAATGTCAACTGGATGTTGACAAAGCTTAGGCACGCAGGCACAGCCCTTAACCAGGGCACAGCCCTTAACCCCTACTGACCTATAGTAATTTAGACCACTGTTTTCTGCTGGATGTAAGCAGCGGTGCACGAGCTCCAGCAGCACCCCGGGACTAAATGCCTTCTCCTTCAGCTGCACCCCTCTGACGATTCACTCACAGGCCTGGCCTCCCGCCACAGAATACAGGCCACATGACGCCGCTGTGCCCCCAGGCGGTGTTAGCTCTCCCCCGTCTCTCACGATCACTGCGGCAGGGTGAACACTTCCGTCCTGACGCAGCGCTTCCGCACGCTTGCTGGCCTCACCTGCATCCAGGCCGGCCGTTCGGTCATCACCTCTGCTGCGCTGTGTGTGGGGACCCCGTGCACAGAGCTGGCTAGGGCTTGGTGGTTGGTCACTCTCCTCCGCTCTGCCTGGGCGGTGTGGGGCCAGGTGTGCAGTTCCTCACCCCTCCCGTCTGCACGTGAGGCCCAGGCAAGGTCAGCATCTCGGGGCCCTGTGTGAGCTCTGAACATAGAAAGTATGTGTGCTCTGACCCGTCCCTCTTTTTCGAGATTGTTTTGACTGTGCAGAATTCCTTGTGATTTGGTATAAATTTCAGGATTTTTTTGTTGCTGGGGAGAAAAGCTATTGGGATTTTGGTAGGGGTGGCACTGGATCTGAGACTGCTTTGAGTAATAGTATCTTAACACTACTGTCTTCCACGCCATAAACGAGTGTCTTTCCACTTACTGGGGTTTAATTTCTTTCACTGGTGTTTTAGTTTTCAGTGTGTAAGTCTTTAACCTCAACTTTTAAGCATATTCCTAAGACGTGTATTTTCTGGTGCTATTTTAGATTTTTTATTATCTGTGTATAGAAAAGCTCTCCTGTGTTAATTTTGCACCCTGCGACTTTGCTGAATTATGTGTTTTTTTGTTTGTTTTTTCCCAGTACCAGGAATCAAACTCATGACCTTGCGCTTGCCAGGCAGGCGCTATCCCGCTCAGCTAAATCCCCAGCCCTTGAATTATGTTCTAACAAGTTCTTCTGCGGTACCCTTGGTTTTCTACATACAAGGTGCTGCTCTGTAAAGCATCCATCAAGTTTCATATTACAATCGCTGTATTTTATGTTGTCGATGCTTTTTCAAATCTGCTGGGCTTTTGGTTTCTTGTCTCACTCATGTTTTCAAGCAGCCTGCACGCCTCTCTTCCTATTGTCTGTGCTTGCTTGGTCACGATCCTGTCTCTTCTGTGACAGTCTCAGTCTCCTGGGATGAAGTCAGCTCAACCGAAGACCTGCAACTGCTCCTGCCCAAGGTCTGGGTGGGAGTGTTCTGGGGCCACCCGTGCAGAGGAGCTGGTGCTGCAGCCAGGCCTGGTGGCACTGTCGGGTGACTTCCACTTCACACTTGTCCTGGGGCTCCTGTCTCCACCACTCTCGTGGGCGGGATCTGAGCTTTTCCTTCTGCACAGGGAGGCAGAAGGGCCCCCGTCTCGCTCCCTCTGCTCCTGGTTCTTGGCCTCAACAGTCCTGCCAGCTAATGGATTTATTGTCCATACCCACTCTCCTAGCTGACCTCGGGACTTCCCCTCTTCAGAAGGCAGCTGGGCCCAGGTTTCCACCTTCCACTGAAGACAGAAACCTCCCGCTGGGCCGGGAGGCCTCATACCCCTCGCTGTCGCTGCACTGGCATCTGTCACTGTCCAGTGAGGTGCCCTGCGGCACCTTAAAGCGGAACTCAGCTTATACACACCTTACCCAAAACTAGCGTGGCCCACCATTCAGTCCTCTCTGCTGCATTTACCAAGCTTTTTCTTTTCTGAGACAGACTCTCACTACGTAGCACAGGCTGGCCCTGCACTCCCTTATGTAGCCCCGGGTGGCTTTGAACTCATGGCGGTCCCCCGCCTCAACCTCCCGAGTGCTGGGATTACAAGCGCGCACCACCACGCCTCGAGTTTCTTCTTTCGATCAACATTGCTACTCTTGCTTCCAAGTGTAGAATTTTGGGTTTAAATCATGAACAAAGTGACGTTTCCCTTCAGAAAGCCCCCTCCCTCCGAGTCTCCACGCAGAGGGCTAAGGTCTTGTCGTTTCTCACCAAGGTGACTCCGACGTGTCCTTCCTGCCTCCTGGTTTTCCTTCCAAGCCCATCTCTCCCGAGTTCGCGTTTTACTCCCTCCAAAACCAAGCTTCCCGCTTTCTCCCTAAGACAGACCTCGGCAGAAAATAACCCGCCTTCAAAACGAAGACCAAGAACGCCAGCCCCACTCGGCCTGTCCTTGCCCTACCTGCCGTCACTCCGCTCAGCGGGTGGCTTCTGAGCAAGCAACGCCTAGCAAGCTGGGCGTCGGAAAGGCCCTGCCGTTCGGACACAGTTAACGTCCCAGGGGAAATATTCCTGTAGACGAAAGCCGTATATAATAAGACCAGAGGTGTCCCCTTATGAATTAGGTCACTGCAAAACTACCACAGGTGGAGTCAGACACAAAATGGGTGATGTACGTGTTGGCCCTGTCACATATGGTGTGGTGTCCCTGAAGCAGTCTCCTTTCCTCTGCAGACCAACTCCACAGGTCCTGGCCTACTGGACCAGGAGAAGGCCGGGCAGGAGCAGTGCCGGAAGATACAGCCAGCACCAAGCCCAAGCATTCTGAGCACGCTGCAGGGGATGGTACTGTGTCAGTTCCAGAAACTGTGCTCGCGACTCAACTGCAGATTGTGCGATTAACGATCTCCAAAGCAGATCACCAACACTTCCAGGACACCTCAGGCGCACACTGCTGACGGCAGCTGTGCACAGAAGACAGGACCCACCGCGACGGTGTGACTGACAGGCAGGCACCGCGACTGCACTCGATGGCCCGGGGGTCTGTGCCGGGCTGGGTGGGCCTGGCAGCGCTGCACCAGAAGCAGGGGGTGTGGCTCTTCCCCCCACCGCCATGCCTGCGTCGGTGACGCCTTCCCACACGGGAGAAGACAGCTGCCACCCAGAAGTCCCTCCTTTCCAAATGTCCTTGGCCCACAGCACAGTGTCTAACGGCCACCTCACCGTGGGGGCTGGTGTGTGTGCCTGACGCACCGTCTTCCCTCCCCCATCTCCAGCTCTTGGTCCTCTTTCCTTTTGCAAAAGGTCTCTCTCCCTCTTCCTATTATCTTTGATTTTGCTCCTCTCTTACATTTTAAAGAGACAACTTACTACAAAATATTTTGCCTTGAAATGACTCAAAAGTGTGACCCAGTTTGATGCACATCAGAAACAAAAAATATGAAAAAGATCACTTGATACTGAGAAGCTTCCCCTAGGATCAAGACGTGATGTGTATGCACCAATGTCCCACGATGCATTATTATTGTGTACTATGTATCACAAGCATGTATGTTTTTAAAAAGCCAGTACCTACAAAGAAAAGATCGCTCCATTCTAAGTTCAAAAGTACATTTATTTAAATGTGGGCAAGATATCAATACAAAAGAAAAGAGTATAAGAAATAAAAATAATCAAAGTACAAAACATTTCAAATCTTTAACATCCATAATTTAGATAGTAAGATCTTTATTTACACCATTTTATTTGTAGCTGAAATCCCATACAGTTTTGTGAAGACATTTAAAAGCCTGGCAAATGAATCATAAAACCTAATGTGGCCTCATAAAGTCATATAATACAAAACATAATTTATGTTTCATCAGAATAAAATTACACATCTCAATACGATGCACCGTGGGTATCCCATGTCTTCCTGCTTCCGTGTCTCCTCCCTGAGGACGCGGCTGGAAAACAAGCGCGCAGGCGGGCGGTGGAGCGCAGGCGCCTGCTCGGATCTGCGCGGCTCGCAGGGCGGGGCCTTCAGTTAAATTTATACGTGGGCTTGTTGAGGAAAACGGCTCTAAACGTGAGCCACAGCACGGAACACAGGCCTCCGCCAGGGCCCCCGCCCCCGCATCCAGCCTGTCCTCACCTTTAGTCCTCAGAACCAGCACAAACAAAAATCAAAGACAACAGAACCCCCGCGGACAGGGTCACTCGGCTGACAAAAGGCCAAAGCCAAGGCCCCAGACTGCTGGCACTGCCTTCAGCGAACACCTCCAATGCGCAAGCCAGACAGGTTCGAGGTCCCGAGAGCCCTGGCACCAACACCAGCCCCATGGCACCTTCGACAGCACCACGCCTTCAGACGTCCCACCGGACAGGCTGCCAGGCCCCTTTCAGGCTCAGCGTGGAAGAGGCCCTGAGATCACACAACACGCACAAATCACACACAGCAACACGCAGAGTAATTCCTGCTCCTAAAAGGAAGCGCACAAGAGAACAGGCTCTCATCAGTACAAACCGAGCGGCAGAGAGGTCTGGAAGATGCGAGGAGATCAGTGCTGCACAGAACACGCTCACAGCCTGTCTGCTTGACCTGGACAAGGTCTCTGTCCCCGGACGGCGAGGCCACAGGGACGCACACAGAGCCCGCCCAGCTCCGGGCCTGAAGGTGCGCCTGCTCTGCACAAGGGCCACTCCGGCAGGCGCCTGCCGCCCTGCACTGGCTGCCTCCAGCAGCTTAGACACCCTTCCCCCTAAAGGGCCCTCTCCCAAAGGTACCCCTAGGTCCTCTGCCTGAGAGCATAAACTTACACCCTTCAGGCTACGAGGAACTATGTGGTAAACTGAGCGGACCCAGTGCACGTGAAGGAGCCGGGGTGGACGCCGCTGTGTCCTTGTGCCCTGCACACGGAGCGGTCCGGCTAGGGCTGCGACTGCCGCAGCCGCGCCACTCAGCGCAGACCCTGACCTACTCGCCCCGCCCCGGGAGCTCACGGCCCTCCTTCGTGGAAACCGGGATTGAATACTGGTTTTACACAAGGATTTGTGAGGCACATTTTGCTTCACTATCGGCTGTTACACACAGATTAAAGGAGTACTCTTGATTTTTAATGATTATAAACAACACAAGAAACCTTATTTTTTCCTGATTGCATGAAACATAATAAGCCTAAGCATGTTCAAATGTCCTTCTAACGGCTGATCCTTGCCTGTTACCCACCAGTAAGACATGAATGACTAAGCGACTTATCACAGCGCGTCTATGAAGCCGTTTCATTTCCCTGGCCAAGCTCCAGAGCAGAGAATGCACACAAGCTACCCTGCACTTTGAAAACTACCAACTTAAAAACTAGCTGAGTATTTAAAGTATTTATTTTCGCAGTTATTTTCTATGTTACCTAATTGGGAAACCCTTAAACACCTATATTAGCAGACAGCACAGGTCCTCACCAGCTGGTCAGGGCTAACACTGACCTCGGTAAGCAAGAGCCACAGGTGCTCAAGGCCCCTCGAGCTTGCGCGTCCCAACACCAAAGGCAGGGCAGGACAGGGCAGGGCAGGGCTGGCGGCCACTATCGGACCCCAAGACCTGGCCCAGGGGCCCCGCACCCCCAGCGCACCTACTCTGTCAAAGGATATGACTCATAGTCCATCGTCTGTGTTAGCACTCCCGTTAAAACGAACTCTGCATTGTGAACATCTGAAAGGAACGAACACCAGAACCGTTAAGACAGACACACGCGTGGGCTGTGCGCGGCGGGGAGGCACAGCCAGCGAGCGCGTACCTATCCCTCTGGCGAAGTACTCCCGGCACAGGTGGAGGTCGTTTTCGCAGGATATCACGATGATTTCTGACAGACTCTAGGGAGAGGACACGCACTCATCAGTGACGAGAGGCGCTCGGGCAGGACCACGACAGCCGCGGGGTGTGCCCCGCTCCTCACCTTGTTCTGCTTATGCTCCGCGAGCTTGCGGAAGGACGGCTGCTTGGACAGCACCTTCCCGCCCGCACACTCCACAATCGCCTTCATGGTGGACAGGCTTGGGCAGATGCCAGGGGTGATGTAAAAGTATTTTGCCTGAAAGGAAAAGGAAAATACAGGTACTATGCTTTCAAGTGCTTTTAGCCCAGGGTTTTGACAAAATGTCTGATTTCCTGAAATTTCGAAGGTAACAGTCTCCTGTTAGTACTCCACCTAGAAAATCCAAGTACGGAAACATGGGAGTAACACAGTACTTTCGAGCATGATGCAAACCTGTGATAACAGGAAGGAACCAGATCTTGGGTTCCCAAAGCAAACAGCGCTCAGCAAACAAGCCGGCCTATTACACACTCATGTCACGACCTCCACACCACCTGATGTCGGCTCTGCACAACACCCACGAGGACTCACAGCCAATGGCCCGACAAGGCCCGGCTCTGCCTAAAGCCTTCTCCTTGTCCTTACTCTATTACTTAGACTCAAGCAGAGGTAGTGAGATCAACGCTTAAGATTTGATTCTCTAATGAGCTTATTCCTGTGTATGCAACAGTATTCTTCTTTTAAGCTGCTCATAGAAAAAAAGCTAAATAAATATTTGAAAAATCAGACTATTTTAGGTAAAATGCATGCTAATTCAATATTCCAAGTCATTTCTAATTCTTAAACGGGCTCCTTAGGAGAACTTCAAAGAACAGGTTATTGATTTACTCCACTCTTTGATACAAAAAATACTGCCCAACTATTCCAAGTCTCTCATCTAACAAATATTTTAAAACCTTTAGTTCTGAATTATGCAAAACTCAATTAACGTTTTTCCAGTATCTTCTCTAGCTGCACACACACTTACTGAGAACAGTGTGAGCAACATCGTTCAAAACCAGTGCAAAGTGAACTCTTACCTATTACATTACTCAAGCACAGCTCTCTGAATACCTTTATCTCTAACAGATCCGCATGTCTGATTTTTGTGCCAATCAGGCTCAGTAAAGAGCAGGGCCCAGGGGGCATGGGTTCCCTGGAGGAGCAGGTCCCTCGACCGGGACCACGGAGGGGCACGCAGTGGGCGCAGAAGGCTGACCTCTGAGCACCCAGCACCCTCAGGTGTGCCCTGTGAGCCTCTGCAGCATACCTTGAAGAGCGGAGAAAGGTGCGCCCGCTTCAAGGACTCCTCCAAACTGAAAGAGAAAAGCACTTCAGCCTCAGCATCTCGGAGGATGTAGTTCTGCTCGTCTAGAAAACAGGAAAGTGCAATCGTGAAAGTGCAGGCTGTGCAGGCACTGTGCGGCAGGTACCGCCACCCCTCTGGTGGCCCTCACCTGTGCAGTGCCCAGTGCCCATGCCTACATCTACCTGGGCAGTGCTGGGCACCTGTGCTTCACCATTACCCTTCGTTTACCTCCCCCTAAAAAGGGCCGGACCAGAAAGACAGGCAGACGGGCCTTCTCCTAGGTAAGTGGCAAGAGCCCTCCAGGGCCGGAAACTGAGGTACGCACGGAGAGCTGGGGAGGCTCCTCCACACCCACGGCTGCCCTTCGCAGCCATCCCTCCGCCACCAGAGCGAAGGGCGCCCCGCTCTCCTCACCATGGTCCCAGCTCAGGACTCCAAGCCCAAGTGGCCACCTGTACCACGTCACCACATGTGCTGCCATCATGCTGACCAACTCCCCAGTGCCAGGGGGCACATCAGCCCAAGCAGGCACATTTACCAAACTTTCCAATTTATCAAAAACCCGTTCCTTTTAAGTGGACAAAAACATGCATCGTTCAATCCCCAGCACAGAAAACAAAGCATACAGCAATCAGCGTTTGAGACTTCTGAGAATTCTCAATAAACTGGCTTTCAGTTCTCACGGCAACTTTAGGAAACATCCATGGGCCAGAAGTCACAGGACACAGGTCCAGCTGTGTTGCATCGGTGCCTGCCGCACAGACAGCCCCTCCTGCTCCGAGGTGGGACTGCGCTCCGTGTGACACACCACACAGCCCCCACAGCAGGGGATGGGGGGCTGGGAGCTGCGTCAGCAACAGGGTCACCAGAGGACACAGATTCAAGGGCTTGTGGGCCTGAACTATTTCTGCTGCACACTCTTCTCTTTAGAATCGTAAAACCGGGCCCACCCTGGGCATGAGCAGCAGTCAACTCACGAGAGAAATACTGAAGTCTGGTGACTGACTGCCGGAAATACAGTCAGGCAGGCAGCAAGTAAGACCGTGGCTGTATTTACAATGTTTCCCACTCTCTACACTGCACCTGCAACCTCACAACAAGCGCCCGCGGCATTGTGCGGCGCCTGTGGACACGGCGTCAGGAGCCTGGTTGCCGCAGGTTCTCACTCCCAGGCCCTTCCCGCTTCCACTCCCGCTGTGCAGGTGTCCCCTCAGCAGTCTGCTCCGTGACGCCCTGCACTGTGTTCTGTCTGTGCCACTGGCCAAGAACTCAGTGCTGTGGACACACTGGCGCCCCCCAGAGAGGTGATGAGGGCCGTGCTGCCCGACACAGGCTGTCGGGGCGCAGCCCCAGGTTTCCGCCAGGCGGCGGTTCACACCTACTGCTGGTCACAAGAGCCGACTCCAGCCGGGAGCCGAGTGCAGAGCTGTCTCCCCTCCGCTGACCTACTCTTCCACACTCCGCTGTCTCACACGGCCTGCGAGCTTAGGTTTGCTCCTGGTGCCCTGACACACAGCAATCTTAACTGTCTTCACCTTAGTCTTCAGTTCTCACCCGTAACATCAGACTACACCAGCTGAAAAACATGTCCGAAATATCCTCACCGAACAAGACTGACCTAATGACCACCTGTCCCCAGGCAGCTGGATTACCTGTGTGTGTGGTGCGTGTACCATGGGAACACAACAGCCAGGGCACACCACTGGCAGGACGCCACAGGCATATGTGACACTGCGTCACAGGCTGGCGAACCACATGCCCGCCCCACAGCAAGGGTGACAGGGGGTCCACATGGCCGTGTGGTTGGGGAAAAAGACCAAATCAACACGACTGGGAGCACGGACATGCACTCTCGGCCCCACCCTGCCCAGAGCAGCTTTCCTACTCTCTGAACTGCATCTGTAACCTCACAATAAGCACCTGTGGCATGTGTGTGGTCGCCTGTGGACACCGAGAGTCAGGAGCCCAGGGAAACATGCAGGGAACCTCAAGGTTCCTGGCAGAGGGGATGGGTGGACACCAACCCCACAGGCCCAGCTCATAGGCCATGTGGGGAGAACAGTAATGTGGAATCTGGGCTCACTCTGGACACAGTGTGTTTATCACCCTAAGAGAGACCTTCCACCACACACAGCTCTGAACACGCCACTTACACGATCGGACGTGGCCACTTTACCACCTGCGGAACTCACACAAACAGGGCCAGGACCTCTGTGCGCACTGCTCCATCCAAAGAAAGGCATAAACTATACTTGCTCTACCGCGAAATTCATTTTACAGCCACATTTCCAAATAAAAAACCACAAAGAGGGATAGAGAGCTTATTTCCCCCCAGTATCATTTAAACTACCACAACCTTTGTATTTCATGGTAAAATGAAAAGTATCAGTCAAAGGAATCCCCGGGGCATGAAATTCCTTTATAAACACGAACGAGTAACTACCACCCAGTCTAACAGCAACTGAGGACACACCGGGCAGAACCGCGCGGAGGTGGGGGCCGGGCGGGCGGGGAGCTCACCCACGAACTCCTGGCACTTGAAGCACTCCTCCAGCCACTCCGGCGTCACGATGTGCTGCACCACGGAGATGGCCGTCAGGAACTTCACGGTGCGCGTCACCTTGCTGGCGATGAGGTGGGTGCACTTCTGCGCGGACTCGGCCACCTCCCCACCCAGGACATAGAGCTTCTGCAGCCACAGCGGGGGGACAAGGCTGCGTCAGCGGGGGAGAAGCTCCACTGCAGGCGCAGGTCGGGGGCAGAGGCTACAGCGGGCCTCTCTGGGGCCGACTGTACACAAAGCAGGGCCCAGACAGGAACCTCCAAACGGGGGGCGAACACAACCGCTGAGCTGGGTTGCTGGACTACACTAGCATGCTATTTCCGTTTTTAAAGAGGAGCATCGAAAGAGGTTATAACATGGGCATACAAGAGAAGACCTCCTGAGAGCTATACTCACAGGTAGAAAATTGTACATTTGCAACAGCAGCACTTTGGCTGTTTCTTTTCCACAACCGTTAATTACAAGTAACCTGTATGGATCCATCTCATATAGGCAACTCAGTCTTGACCCCTCCACCGCCAAAACGACGACAAAACAAAGCCCCGGCGCCCCCTGTGCCGTCACTTTAGTCTGTTTACAACTCTGCCCCCACTTGTCATCTCAACAACTTCGCCCTCAGAACACACATCTGGACGCTGTGCCCAGCCCGAGAGCCAGAGGTCCTCCTGGAAAGGACACCTTGCAGCCTTGTGACGCTCCGGGCTGGGACGCAGCTCCCGCCAGTGCCTCAGAATCCCATTTTACAGTAACGAGAAACCAGGTATGACCTGAGCACAGAGCCAGGCGGAAGCCAGGTGATGACTGGTTACAGTGAGGAAGACACCAGCGGATACTTTGCAGATCTGCACCCTAACGACTACTGCAGGAAGACATTTCCAGGTAAGCGCTAGTTTACTAAGCACCTAGCCTGGAGTGAATATGCACAGGGAAGAAGACAGCTAAACATCCCCAAAGGCTGGGGTGCAGCTCAGCGGTGGAGTGTCTGCTAGCACGTACAAGGCCCTGAGTTTAATCTCCAGTACCACACACACACAAAAAAGGAACAAAACAAACATCTGTAAGGTGGACTCACACTTCACCTTAACGTACTGCTGCACCTGGCCGGGCTCAAATCCAGTGAAAAGTACCAAAGGTGTCAGCTCCGGGGTCAGCTTTTTGGTGGGAGGTGGTAGATCCTCAATTCTGTAAAATAAACACAAAACAGTGACGATGGTATTATTTTCTTCAACTGTTCTCTAGTAACTCAGAACTCAACAGGTGAACAACCACAATGGCTGAGACCCTGTGTGATTTGATGCTTAAGGGAACACAAGATGGACTCTCACGCAGTCACCCCAAGAATCTGAAACCCCCAAGGACGGCGCCCGCTGTGGATCTGGCTATGATCCAGTCTCCTATCCCTCATCAGTCCTGCCCAGCTGAGTTTGTTCTCAACTGGGTTTTAAAAAGGAAGAAAATACTAGTTTTTCTAGTTCACTGATTTTGATAGCCTGACTACCATAAGGGCCAGTCCCCCTCTTTCAGTACTGGGGATTGAACTCAGGGCCTTCACACTGAGCTACACACCAGCACTTTTTATTTTTTGAGACAGGGTCTCGCTGAATTGCTCAACCAGGCTGGGCTCAAATTTTCAATCCTCCTGCCTCAGCCTCCCAAGTGGCTGGGACTATAGATACGCACCTCCATACTCTGCCACTCTATTTTTGTGTCGAGTTTATAAAGTGACCCTGTGCGACTCAGCTGCTGCTCTCCACTGCGACGGTCACACTGACTCGAGGACCCAGGAGGGCGCACACTGGTGCCTCTGCTCCCTCTCCTTCATTCTCACCCCGACCATGGGACCGGCAAGCTGTTTCAGTGCATACAGGAGGCTGTTTGAATCAGACCTTCCCGTCTTTTACAGGGTGTGATCAAAACATATGGTGAGTGTCTCAATTTTAAAATATTTATTACAAGTAAGAGACACACTGCCATGAACCCTCCTTGCTTCAAACACACGTACCCCATCATTCCTGCCACTTTCTGCAGCAGCTCAGAAATCCTCTTCCCCCATGAGGCTGGATCAAAACTACAGTGAACGCTGCTGCCTAGCGCCCCCCGACTGGAAGGCAGCTCGTGAGAACTGACGCTGTGCTCTCTCCCATTCTATTCACCAGAGCTGGGATCATGCAACTTCTGGCTCTTCCTCGAGGTCAAAACGACCATGAGAGGTAAACATTCAGGACACCGAAGCAGCCAGGACAGCACAGCTAAAGACAAACAGGAAAGAGGACTCCAGAATGCCTTTATGAAGTGGCTGGAACAATGGGATAAGTGTGTTCAAAGTCAAGGGAGGGATTCTGAGGGGGATTGATGCTGATGTCTTTTATTCTAGCAATTTCTAAAATTTAAATATCTGACCCAGGAGTGGTGGCACACCCCTATAATCCCAGCACTTGGGAGGCTAAGGCAGGAGGATTGCTGCAAGTTTAAGGGCAGCCTGGGCAAAACAGTGAGTACAGATCCAGCCTGAACTCAACAGCGAGACCCCGACTCAAAAAAATTAATAAATAAATAAATGTACTTTTCTATCACACCCTGTACATCTCCCTCAACATTTTTCAACTCTTACTCTTTAAATCAGGTGCTCTAAAAATAACTTAAAGTTTACCTGCAGCAATCTGGTCACAGCCTTAAAAATGTAATACTAGCCAGCTGTGATGACTGACACCTGTAATCCCAGCACGCTGGGAAGCTGCAGCGGGAAAATAACCAATCCTAGCCCCACTAAGGCAACCTACTTACTGATAATGAGACCTTCAAAAGAAGCTAAGGAAAACAGCTGGAGACGCAGCCCAGCACAAGGCCATGAGCTCAGTCCTCAGGACCCCCACGAGATAGTAACTGCTCCTCAGTGCGGCTTTTCTGCAGTGTCCGGGACGTGGGGGTGAAGGAGAGACAGCGGGGAAGAGCAGGGACGAGGAAATGGTTACCGCAAAGGGCAACTCCGAGCTGTATTTCACCAGGCACAGCGTGGAAACAACGGTTCTCTAGAACCACGGTCCCGCTGTACTCTGCCTCACGCGCTGCCTTACTCGCTGAGTGTGGGACTCTGTGTGGACCTGGAGGCCGACCACGAGGCCAGAAGATGTGCAACTGCCCAACTGTGCAGGGCCGGCTGGACAGGCAGCAGTGCGGTGCTCACGGCGCACCAGAGGGGCCTGAACAGCCACACGGGGCGCTGGCAGCCCGGGGTCCGAGCGCAGCAGGCTCGCAGCGGCTGGCACAGGCTGTGCCTGGGGCTCCTCATGCCACAGTGGCTCCTGTTTTACACAGCAGCGGTTCGGGTACAGCCGTGATTACAGAAAAAATTATTTTTGTTTTATTAATAAAAAAGTAAGAACTCTGCTGGCCCTGTCTTTATCAGCTGTCCGTCTGCAGCAATGAGACGCACCACAGTGACGTGAAGCACGCACAAGGCCTGTAACCCACGGACCGTGCAAATGCTTAGACACTCTGTCCCGTCACCAGCGAGCCTCCAACACAGACCTGCAAAGGTGGCCGCTCCTACCTGGCTCTTTTGGAAGAAGGCGGGATGCTGGTTACTTCGCTCTGCTTTGGTTTGGGAGGTAATCTTACGCCCTGTAATGAAAATATTGTCCACGTTAGTCAGACCAGCCCCCGCCGCAATGCACCAGCTTCCAAGAGGTCGCTGCCAAATAAGCCACCTGCTGAGCGTCTGTAGGAACCACGCCCTGGGCCCCCAGAACTGCTCACTGCAGCACGGCCGGGACAGCACGGCCGGGAGCGAGGGGACAGGCCAGGGGCTCTGTGCAGCTCTGCCTCCCCTCCCCAGGCAGCGACCCGCCCGCTTTTCAGTGTCCTCGTCCTGTTCTTTCTGCGCCACACGTTACACACGCTGTGCTCAACCAGGAACCTCTCAGAACCATTTTTATTCCAAGTGCTTTGTCCTGTGCCCCCAACTTAAGATGTGAAAACTATGAGGACTGCAATTACATTGCCCTAAAAAGACGACCACTTCCTGAAACAGAAATGGCACTCAGCTGTCCCGGGAGACTCCACATGACGATCAGGGCAGCACTACCGGAGGAAGCCGGGCTGTGGCGCCCACTCCCTGTGCAGAAGGCGCTGGTGCCTAGCGCTGGAGCTGCTGGACAGGAGGACAGGGAAGAGGGCAGGGTGCCAAGGCCACATCCCAGCGGCTCCACTCTGCTCCCAGCCCTTGCTCGCTCCTGCCTCAGGCTGCTTCCAGAATGATGCTTCATCTGTCCACATGCGACTATCTGAACTGTTTGCTTTTCTCAACAATGTCTCGACCAGGTTAATTCACCCTAAGTACACACTATACTTTCTAAGTATCACTGCCACCTCTACACAACCAAAGCAAATGTACACATGCTTCCAACACGTGTGGACTCTCCTGGCCCTTTCAGACATGGAGGCTGAAGCTCCACAGAAATGTGCGGGACGGCTCACACTTCTGTCACCACCTTTACAAGAACACCGTGCCTGGACCTTGTTCCAGACCATGCTTCCACCCCCAAATCACAGCCCCCGCCCTCGGCAGCAAAGGCAGAAGCACAGCAGGATGGGTAAAACGGTGAATTGGGCCTCGCTGGCTCTATTATTTTCAGCTTTTAATACACAGCCAGCAGGGACCTTGACATGCAGAACCCTGACAATTTTAGAATATCCGCCAAGTGGGATGGCAGGAAGAACTGATGATCACTTTACCGGCTTGACCTTAAAAGTTATTCTAAAATTTCTCTCATCTAAATGAACCAGGAGAGCAGGTCCATTTGCTGATGTGTCATAGCTGGTTGGTAATGTTTTGTTAAAATACTAATTAGAACGAGCAGTTTAAGTCAGAAAAAAATACACGTATGACCACATCATTAGCATGAAGGAAACAGACAGCAGCCATGCAATAGGGCTCCTGGAGAAAATGGAAAAGTCAGTCTCCTGTGTGTGCGTGTATCTGTGTGTGTGTGTGTGGCAGGCAGTGTCCCATCAGTGTGTGTGTGTGTGTGTGTGTGTGTGTGTGTGTGGCAGGCAGTGTCCCATCAGAGCCCAAATCCAGCAAGCATGGGCCTGGAGACTGGCACCCAAGGGGCAGGGGGAGGAGGCGGCCAAGGGTCCGGACCTCCTTTAGATCCTGCGGCCTGGAGCAGCTTACTGTGGCCTCCTCATCCAGTGGTTCTCAAAGTTCTTGCCTGTTCTCCAACCCCTGAACAACCACACAGTTCTCCAAAGCAAGAAATGCTCCGCACAGACAGATGTGAATGACAGGCCATCACCAGCGATCAGGACAGACCTAGGGCTCACTAGGCATTATTTTCTGCCAACAAAAAGACGGTAAGACACAGCCTTTGCTTTTCATCACAACAATTTTATCTGGTCACTGGTAAGACAGTTTTAATTTACAAATACAAATCTCCAAACATAGCCTTGCTACATCTGAATGGCACAGTAATAGCCAAATGGAGGCAACTGATGTTACATACCATCAACAGCTCTGGTGACACTTTCAATGGAACTCTCCACGCATCTAGAAATAGAAACAAATTATTTTTCACAACACACTGTTTAGATACAAGAACCTTCTTCTAAACGCCTCTTCCGGGATTGGTGACCCTAGACACACGTGGCTTTTCTCCAAACACCGAGCAGGGCTAAGGGCAAGCGCCATGCTTAAGTTTCAAAGTGTTCCCGGGGGAAGAGGGATAACAGGGAGCGCCCATGCTTCACAAACATGAAGCAGCACTCTGGACCAGCAGCACCTCGACACCACAGGGCTCAGGGCCCCACCATGTGTGGTGTGGTCCAGGCCTGGGCACCACAGGCTGGCCTGCCCGCCATGCACCACTTAGGATCTGAGGCCGACAGGAGGGACCACACCATGCCTAGGGACTGGCACGCTCATCCCGTGGGAAGAGCAGTCACAAGGCCAGGGCAGGCTTGGAGTGGACACCTCTGACAGGCTGGCCCTCCACAGCTGCTTCCAAGCTGGGACAGACCAGGGAGGGGCTGGAACACAGACAAGGCTCGAAAAGAGGAAGGGCTTCTCTGGGTTAAAGACATCGAAAGCAGGGTGGGCTCCCTCAAGAGAACACCAGAGCCTGCCCTGATGGCCTTCTGCAAATAACGTCCAACTCCAGAAAGGCAAAACGGAAGGGCCATGCTGCAGTGCCCACTAGGGAGGGCCCCGGGGGAGCTGGGTGATGGCAAAAGGCCAACGACAGTGGCACAGGGACGCCCAGGATGCAACAGCAAAGCCTGCCTGTGACCAGGGAGACACTGACCCCTGGGGAGCACGCATCACTGCCCAGGGCCAGGACACTGCCAACAAGGCACCTGGCCCGAAGGACCCACTCCAGCCTCTTCGTGTCCTTACCACGCCAAAAGCCCACCGTGCACAAACAAGGGCCCAGGGCCCAGGGCCCAGGGGAGGGAGGATGTGGGAAAGAAACAGCACACAGCCAAGAAGCAGCCAGAAGAGCAGATCCCAGCCTGGCGTCCGCACCAGCAGGGCCCCACCCGACCCCACCTCCAACAGCAGGGGGTGCCGCCTACCCAGCAGGTTCAGCACCAGGTGCTGCGTGGGCGCGAAGGGGTCCTGCAGGTTGAAGGCCGTGTACCGCCCGTACTGGACCTGCCTCAGCGCCTCGAAGTTCCCCAGCAGGATGTCCCCCAGCCACTGTGCATTCACGCACGGGATCCTCCACTCTTTGGCCTTCTCGTACTTCAAACCACTGGGTCTGTTTTTGGGGAGCAATCACATTTATTAGACCGCTGCTGTCTAGACTCGTATTTATTGTCAACAAAAGCCAATGAAAACCTCTCGCATCACAGAAGTGGCAGGTGTATCTCAGCAAAGCTACAAGTGACCCCGCTGGGGGGCCAGGATGCTTTGGGGCTCAGACTGGGCAGGAGGCCACCAGCCAGGCCTGCTGTGACCTCACGCTGGGGACAGACCCCCACATTCATTGACGCTCCACCCACTCAACCGCAGCAGCAGTCCAGACACTTCAGGTATTTCTGTTAACGCGGCTCACCGTGAGTATCACACCCACTCTTTTAACAGACTAACACCCCCACTGGGACTTTGGCCATAAAACTAAGATGTCTTAAGAAAGAGAAGGGTTGGAACAGCCACTCTGCCACGTGTAACCTTAGGACGGAAAATGGCCTCGGAGCGGGCTTACTCTCTGCAGATGAGCACTGTGTTGCTGCGGCACAGGTAGCCCGTGTACTTGGCACCCGCCAGGTACGCCATCAACTTTAGGTCGTCCCTGTCGCTGTCCACAAACCCAGTCACCGAGATGATCTGCAGGCAGACAAGAGCACACGCGGCTTTTAAAAGGCGTGCTTCCCCAACTTTGCAGTTGTTCTGTGTACCTTTTTCTTGTTATCTCTTCGGCGCTGCAGGAAATACTTGGTGCCAGCATGCCTGAGTGGCAAGACTAGAATTTTACTAACCATATTACACACAGAACCTCACAGGAAGGACAACTAAACATAAGATGTCAAGGGCAGAAAAGTCTTTTTCGTGTTGGTGTGCCACTGCTCACATGCGTAAGTATGAATCAGGTTTTCATGTTCTGTACTGATCCTGGTTTTGAGAACATTAGTTATTAGGAGAGAGAACACACAACTACTGATAAAATTCTGCCCAACACTGGTTGCTTTTGGGATAAGATACCTGACTCATTTTAGAATTTTAAATATTGTCTGAGACTGGAGAATCATTAATACTGGCATGTGCAGAAAACTGTGCGTGTTAGGAGCACAGGAGGGAATAAGCTGTTCTCGGTGGGCACGGCCATGCTGGGCCACAGTAGAGAAAAACTGCCCAGAGCAAGCAGCAGAGGGCCACAGCGGAGGGCCGGCACTACACACTCAGTTTCCCCCAAACTGATTCCGAACAAAACCAGCAAAACCCACGCTCTGCCTTACATGCTGTGAGCACGGCTTCCCCCCGGGCGGGAACGCCACCGGGAAGTGCAGGGCTCGGTGGGGTGGCACCATCTTCCTCCTCTTCAGGACGGTGTTCAGCCAGTGTGCAGTGACACACCGCTTCCTCTCTCTGATCGCCTGTCAAACAAGATTACAGGTTTGCTGTTCCGAATGTTTTGGTGCAGCACTGAACGCGAAGTGTGAGGCTGTATGACTACAACGGAACCTTGTCAAAAGCCCCATAAATTAAAAGGATGAGACAGTGAACACATAATTTATTAAGGTAACCCACTGCAACAGGATAGCTGCTACCTTCAATCCAACCAGAAAATGTTATTATCTATGAACCAGAGCCTGCAATGGCGGATAAGAGCGGCAGATTGTGTGACACCCATAAAAACAACCGGGAGTGATGCAGTACTGATGACCCTCAGAATTAAAATCCCTCCACCAGAACACAACAAGGTAACAAAATGTAACCGTACACCTACCACGAACCACAGCAAGAAAGCTCACAAACTTCCTACACTTTTAACTGCTAACTTTTAAAGACGGCCTCTCTTTCTCTTCCTTTTCTTTCTGCTGTAGGCTTGGGACTGAACCGAGGGTTACACACGCGGTAAGGGCCCCACACTGAGCTACCCTCAGCCCAAGGTGACTATCTTCAGGGTCATCTGTCACAAACGCACTGACACCATGTTTGAGAGGAGAAGCAGCAGGACGCCAGGGATAAAAGGAGCCAACCCAAGGAGAAGGCTTCCATCCAGCAGCGCAGGAGACTCTAGCCGGCCATCTACAGCCACTGGGCACGAGTGCCCTTCTGCACTCAGGACATTCTGTGACAGCCCACAAGGCCACCAGGACTTTCCTTTCCTTCTCCATTGCCCAAAGACAAATGGCACCCACAAAAGCACCCAGCCCACCAGACTCGATGGAAGGAAGAACCAGGCAGTTCTTCACAAGGACACCAACCAGCCAACTCTGAAGGCCACGTGCCAGCACACATGGCAGCCTGCCTGGCGCAGCGGGGCCAGCTCCTCACCTGTGCGTACATGCTGCTGACCTGGCTCTCACAGAGGAGGTGCGTGCACCGGCTCGTGAAGGTGGGGTCCACCACGCCGCCATGTGCCTGGATGATCTGCATGGAAGACATAGCCAGAGTGTCAGCCCTGACTCGGGGGACCACAACTGTCGTCAAAAGGCAGCTATGCAAAGGACCCATCACCCACTTACACAGGCTATCAAAGACCCAACAACAACATTTACACACTTTCTACTCAGCACTGGAAAATAACAATGAACCCCAACACTCATTCCATCCCAGTGCCCAGGGAGACAGAAAAGAAAACTGAAACGTGACCCTCCACATCAAGGGGTCTCTCTGTCCTGACCAGGGAAGTACGTGCAGTGAGGCTGCCCTGGGCAGCACAGCACCTGCGGCCCCTGACCCCTGCCCCCGCCACCTGCCGGGAAGGACCCCCCACCGCCTGAGCAGCACACGTGTCTCCACTGAGTGTCCCAGCAGACTCATCCCCTCAAGAACCACTACTCCAAAAGGGAAGGAAAAGAACAAATCAGGATGAACGAGTGAATCCAAAAATTTCATTTTAAACAGATTCCGCTTTCTGGGGTTCCGTACTCTGCACTAATTACATGGCACCAAGCATTTGTCGGTACTTAGGAGGGGAGGGAAACACGAGCATGTCACCAAATACAAAATCAGTAACAGGCCTGACCGCCCCAGAGCCCCATCTGTTATTTTGTAGTTGTTTGGTATCTTACTACAAATGTGGTTTAATGAGGCAGGTCACCAAAGCTGCATCCCTCCCCTGCCCTGGGCCACCACGTCCCACCAGGAGCTGCTGCTGCTGACACGGACTCGGCCTGCTTCTTGTGTATGCAGCCCCTGGCACCTGCGGGAGGCAGCGCACCACGCCCAGCCTTCCCACGCGACCTCGTCCGCCTCTCTCGCTGCTCAGGCCGGCCGTGTGGTCTATCCCACAGCCCTGACCCAGGCTCCTCTCCAGCCACCTTTTGTTCCCCTCACCCTTCCCTCCCGCCTGCTGCTGCCTTGTTCTTCTCCCGATGACCCGTGGACTCCTCAAAGAAACGCGTGGGAGCCTTACACGTGCCCACACGCCACCTGCTCCATCTCTCCAGGGCCACACTGCTCCCCAGGCCTGAGCATGCACTCTCGCTGCCCAGCCACAAGGGACGCTGGCTCGGCCCTGCTGCAGCCTGGGCGTGTGGTCAGGGCTGCGGTCACCCCAGCACCCGGACAGCTCCTGCAGCCACAGGGCACAGCAGAGTCACAGCCACCCCACGCTACCTCAGGACCTCCCACCCGTGGACAGTAACTGCTGTCCTAAGGCCCACGGCTTTGCAGTAATGTCTCACACAGCCACAGAGAACACAGCAATGCCGCCTCTCCCCGTCCCGGGCTGTCCCCTGGCCCCCGGGCCCACTCCCACGTCTCCTCAGGCGCCTCCCCGGCTCTCACCCCGGCACCGCGTCCCTTCTCCGCCGTGCGGAGGCCGGAGCCGCCCGCGGTGACCTGAACACCTCTCTAGTCCGCAGCCCCACAGGGACAGGCTGGCCGCCGCTCTCTGCCGGAAACCTGCCCCTCGGGCTCCGCAGAGATGCCAGGCACAAAGCTGACCGCCCCGCTGAGCTTCACACAGCTCCTCCCGCAGCGCTCTGCACACTCAGTCACGCTGACGTGGTTCTCCAGGCACATCCTGCACCCACCAGTCTCGGTGGGCAAGGCAGGGGCACCGGTCTCTCACAGGGCTGGCGACTCACTGCACTACCTGCGGGTCTGACCCTTCTCACCCTTTTCTGTAAAGTTAACGAAGAGGAACACCCGGGCTGCACAGCACAGCATACAAACGAAGTTCCCAGTCATACTGGCCTTGGCCTTGCCCGCCCTGCCTCATGGACCCCATACAGGTGCTTTCTGCCAGTCTCTGCTCGTCCATCTAAGCAGGCACCAGCCTTTGCCCGTCTCTCTGTCTGTCTGTCTGTCTCTCTCCCCCTAACTTTTTGAGTCGGGGTATTGCTATGTAATCCAGGCTAGCCTCAAACTCACTATGTAGCCCAGGCTAGCCTCAGACTTGCGGCAACCCTCCTGCCTCAGCCTCCTGAGTACTTGGATCACAGGCCTGTACCACCACAGCCGGCAACACCAGGGATGTAAATGCCAGGAGTACTTAGTCAAGCACATTCAAGATGTGTCTGAACTCTACTCAGGTTTCATTTCAAAAAAACTGCTGGATTCAGCTTTGATCTGTGGCATAGCAAGAAGTATTTGCTTTTTTTCTCTAGAAGCCACCAGACAAAATAAAGAGCAAACGAATGGACCACTGTTTCACAACGAGACTTCCGGGCCCTGCTAACCTGCAGCCCTAGCACTCCTGCATGCACCTGTGAAGAGCAGAATGACTCAAGACACATGCAAGTTGCCAGTCCCTGTCCCAGGTCACCGACACCCCTAACTATAGAGCTGCAAGGACCTTAAAGATGACAAAGCCCCTAACAGCCATCTAAAGGCAAGAGAGATAAAGCCCAGAACTGATATCCCGAGAGCCGGAGTGCTCACAGCAAGAACGCCCACCACATGCTTGGAACACACGGACGTGTCTCAGAAAGGCGGCTGGTGGAGCAGGCAGCCTAGGCTCAAAACACCTCATCAAACACCTCATCTTCCGAACAAAGTGCACACCTCCCAGGAACTCACCCTTTTCCAGGTGGCCAGCAGCTGCTTGTCAGACATCTGTTCTGGGTAATCTGCAATCGCAAACACGCACCCCAGCAGGAAGCCTTCTTCTGGAACTGGGGAGAAGGAAGTCAGAACTCAATGAACGTGCAGGCACAGCTGCACGCACAGCCGCACGTCCGGCCTACACTAAGCCGGCTCTGACTGGAGGCGGCCACCAGCAGCGTGTGCACACTGGGAACATAGCTTTGATACACAGACCTCACCATCTGTGTAAAAGAACCAATAAAAAATGAAGCCATGCTCCGTTGTCCTAAGATAATGACTGGTGTGAACCCCACCCCACACCTTACCCCCCAAAATACTTACACAGGCACCAGACTTAAACCCACTACTCACTCTCCACAGTTGGGTCATGTCCACACAGCGGCAGCTGTGACAGAGGCTGTTGAGGTGGGGGCTGCAGGTGCGGGGCCTGGTGCTGCATAGCTGGGGGAGCCTGGCCCAGGTGTGGAGCGGTAGGATGCTGAAGCTGCTGCTGCTGCTGCTGCTGGTGGAGGCGCTGCAGCTGCTGCTGCTGCACCTGTTGCTGCTGCATCTGCTGCTGTAGCAGGCTCTGGTGCTGCAGCTGTGCCAGCTGCTGGTGCTGGAGCTGCTGCTGCTGCAGCTGATGGAGCTGCTGCTGCAGATGCTGCTGCTGGAACGGCTGCAGGGGCTGCTGGGGGCGGTGCAGCTGCGGCTGTGGGTGCAGCTGCTGCTGGGGGAAGGGGTGCTGAAGGACTTGCTGCTGGGGCTGCTGCGGCTGCTGAGGGAATGGGTGCTGCTGCTGTGGGCAGGGCTGCTGGGGCATCTGTGGGGGCTGCAGGTGGAGGACAGGGTGCTGCAAAGGGTGCTGCGGTGGGGGCTGGCGGTGCGGTGGTGGCAGGTGTGTGTCAGGAGTGCCCCTCGGCTGGCTGAGCAGCATGGCACTGGCGCTGGCATTGCCGTGCCCCTGCTGGCCATGGCCTACCTGCGGCTCCAGGGTCTTTGTGGGAGCCGACAGGGACTGTAGGATCTAGAAAACAAGAGCAAGGCTGGTCCTTATCCCTGGGTCCACAGCGGGAGAGCAGGAGCGTGGCTCGTGTTCCACCGTCAGCGCGTCCGGTGAGAGCAAACTGCAAAAGCTCTACTGCAGCTTCCGCGTGTCTCCTTCCCATCACCGCCGTCAAAGCAGCGAGTGCTTAAACTCTCCTTATGGGGACCAAAGGTTAAACCGTGTGCACAACAAGGAGTGAACTAACGAACTAAAGGGACAAACGAGAAGACTTGCAGTCAGTGTCTTGAGAACAAGCAGAGCACTCTGTACTGTCCCCCTGGCCCTTCTCGGCCTGGCCAGGGCTCCAGCTTCGCACCCACACCCCCACCCAAGCCTCCTCCTGACCGGGAGGCTCCCATGGAATGACAGGGCGGAGGCGCCCAGCAGCCGGACTCGCACCTACCTTCTCCTGCCCCATGACCAGGCAAGGGTTCACCCTGCAGAAAGCAAGGGCTCACAGCGAGCCCCAGCACCCCAACCAGGCAGCCACCCCAGCCAGGCCATGGCCTCCCCTACTGCACATCCTCTGCACCACAGTAATATGACACAGGACAGAAGGACCCACCCAAAGGTTTGTTTGCCCAGCAAGTGTCCCCAAGAGACCATCATTACAGGTGCCGAATATGCGTCCTCAAACACCAGGGCCCTTCAGATGGACACGACATCCCAAGCTGGAGCCAACATCGAGGCAGCCTGCTTGCCTTCCAGCTCACACCACTTCACAGCACAGGGGTGAGCTGAGGGCAGAGGGACGGGGACAGTGACCAAGGACACCCAGCAAGCCGAATACCGCACTGCAAGGTGCTTTTCTACACGACACCAAGTAAAACTTGCAGCACAATGAACTTCCTTCAACAGGCTCAAGTGACACAAATGTGGAGCCAATTTCTTAGAGTTGAGAAACCAGCATGCACTGTGTCTTCTCAAGACTTAAATCAGGCACCACCAAGTCCAAGCAGAGCCTACAGGAGGCACCTGCCCAGGTGCACACGCCATGCAGCAGGCCTGCGTGAGACCCTGGATGTCACAGGGCTGCCTCCTGGAGACAGCATGTGAGCCGCACAGTCTGCTGGCCTCTCACTTTTTATTTTGAACAAACTGTTTTCCCCGCCAGAAGTGAATGCCCAAGGAAATTAAGTGGGTGTAAAAGGAATACACACGACCAGCCTCCCGTCTGCACCACCTACCCCAGAACAAGAAGCCCCAGAGGGACAACCCTACAGACCCAGGAGCGGACTCCAGGACGGGGTCACAGAGGGACGCCTGCAGGAGCAGCAGCCACATAAATGGCCGGGTGGCCACTTTAAGCGGGGAGGCCACCATCTGAGAGGGCAGAGGAGGGCGAGGCAAGAGAAGGCGACGCTGAGCCGTCCGCCTCGGGCTTGAGAAGCAAAGGCGAAGAGAACTTAGCCCATTCAAGGACAGCGAGAGCTCCAGGACAAGTGCCTGGCAGGCACGAACACAGGCCACCAGCCCGGTGCCTCTCCCTAGCTAGGACGGCCAGGGACAGGGTGGGACAGCCGGAGGACCAGGTGCCATCAAGACACCTGCTCCACGCCTGCTGTGCCTGTCAGATCCCCAATCTGCCTCTGCTGAAAACATGCTTCTCCCGAGGCATGTAAGAAAAAGCAGGACCCTGACTGCTCTTGTCATTGTGCTGCGCTGCAAATACTTCGGAATGAGTGGCGGGCGGGACTGCCCATCGCCACCGTCAGAACCCTTCCTTAAATTACAGAATCTGACCTGCACCAGCACAGGGCGCTGCAGTGCAGGCCGGTGACTCCTCAGCACCGGGCACTCACACCACACTGGGGTCTGCCGGTGAGCTGCACCCCTCCACCACAGCCAGCGGTAAAACCACGTCTGGCTCCTGTTCCTAAAGTTCCGAAGTTCATTTTCTTCACATCTTGCAGTTGTCCTCACGCATCCTCTCTTCCACTGGGAAGCTCCTGGCAAGGCTGTGAAGTGGCCGGCAGTGACCGGTCCTCCTCCACCGTGGGCCAGCGTGCAGCAGACGCCATATCACCTCCCCAGGAGAGCTGCAGCCAGGGATGTGCCCTGCTGCTCGTGTGGCCAACCACGCACTCTGTTCCCAAGGAGAGTCCTCTCTAGAACTGCTCGACTGCCAATCTCCCCATGCTGGTGGGATGGCCTCTTGGGTCAGGAGTTCTAGAACCTTCCTGACCACTAGCCTGCCATTCTTTACACCGTGCACTGTGACCCCGTCTCTCTGCGGCTCTCAGCAGTCTGCTGTCCCCCACCCCAGCCCCTTCCCTGAGCAACACCAGGGCTCACACAGACACTGTGGGGACGGGTCCTGGTCCACTCCTGTTCCCAGTCACGCCAGCCTGTGGTTAGCTGCAAACGCACTCACCACCAGGACAGGTATGTAATGCCAAGTGGGAGGGGACCCAGGGAGCCCAAAGCCCACCCTAGAGGCCCATTTCTAAGGGGCAGCTGGTGCCACAGAAGAAGCCAGGCAGGAACCCCAAAAACAGCGCTTTTCAAGTGACTTGATCTGAAGCAGCAGAAACAATCATCCAATAATAAAATCTCTTTGCCAGAGTGACTTACATGCGCTACATTTGACGGCCGGTTGAGCTGCTGAATGTCAGCATTATTAGTAATATTCCTCAGTGTCCGCACGGCAGGGCTCCACGTGCTGATCATTTCCCCTCTGTCAGCACTCTGCAGGTTCTGCCCAGAAGCCATGAAGTTCCCCCGGACATCCGGAGGCAGGATGTTCCCAGGGACTGGCGGGACATTGGCACACAAGTTAATGAGCCCAGCCTCCTTGCCCTGGGGCAGCCTGCGCTTGGCAGCCGTAGGCTGGGGCACCTCAGCAGGGGTCCAGTTCAAGTTCCGCTCTTGCTTCTCAGGCGAGGAGTCCGAGGAGTCGTCAAACATCAACTCCCCTTTGGAGGTCTCCGTGCTGGGCTTGGGAGAGAAAGCCTGGTCCCCAGGAGGAGAGCCCTCCTGCGAGCTGGCCGGGCTCGACTTCTCCTCAGTGCTGCCCTCGTTCTGGGAGTCCTGCTCCTCGTTCTCCCCCTCCCCCTCCCCCTCCTCCTCCTCTTCCTCCTCCTCCTCGTAGATGATCAGGCGCGGATGGTAAGGTGCTTCGTCCTTCCTCGTCTTCGCAGACACGCAGTCCAGCACCCAGTCAGGAGTCACCACTTTAATACTAGCTCGCTTCACAGCACACTCGTATTTCTCCTGTGAGTGAGGCACAAACACACACGGACGTCAGGGTCACTCATCTCTGGAATTCTGCACTTCCAGAGGGAGTGTAAGAAGGAACACAGCTTCAGCATGCAGCAGCCTATACTCCTGCAGACAAGGAGGCCACGCCAGGGCCGCCAAGAGCCAACACTTGCAACAGCCATCTTGTCTAAAGCAATCTGAAGGGGGCATTTTAAATACACAAGTACTCAGCACTCAGGAGGCTGAGGCAGGAGGACTGTTCTGAGTTTGAGGCCAGCCAGGGCTACAAAGTGAGCTCAAGGCCAGCCTGAACTGCATAGCAAGACTCTGTCTCAAAAGACAAAAAATATTTTGTAAGTAAATAAATAAATGCACAAGTAGAGCTAGCAATCTTATGGGAGATTATAAAGTAAAAATGCAGTAAGGTTTTACAGACACCCTTTGCAAAGCTGGTTGTCCGTGACAGGTGCACACACGGCATCTTCAGCCCCTCAGGAAGCGGCACCAGGATGTGAGCTGCAGTCACAGTGGAACTTCCCAGCTATCTAGTACTCACTGAGCTCACCGCACACCCCAGGCAAGCTGAGGGGCCACAGGCCAGAAGGATGCAACAAGTCTCCGGCTTAAGGTTCCAAATGAGAGGAATTCAACGTGCAGTGAGAATGCAACACAGAGCCGTGCCAGGGCTGTGGTTTTGATTTTTTTTTTTTTTTTTTTGGTGCCTGGAATTGAACTCACAACCTCACGCTTGCCAGATAGCCGCTGTGCCGCTGAGCTATATCCCCAGCCCCTGTGCCAGCACGGTGACGGGAAGGAAGACTCGGGAGGTCTGGCGACCCGTGCATGATTAGGAAGGATGGCAGGCAGGTGCTCCCAGGCAGAGTCACGCTCTGGGCGGGGTGGGCACCAATGGGAGAGGAGACATACAACACAATTCACAAGGCAAGGCAGTGGCTTCTACAACACGAGGCTAAGTTTGGCTCAATCACCTCTCGTCCCTGCTCTGAATGCCTGCAGGGGACCTGCACTCCTGGCTGCCACGGATGGGCCCTACACTGAAACCCGAACCCTACCTCAGACACCACGGTGCGCTTGCCGTTTACAGCTGGGGCAAAGCCCGTGCACACCAGGGACACGGGAGCAGCGTGCTGGACGCGGCAACTGATGAGGTGAGGCTCTTTACCCTCCAGCCTGCATGCCTGGCACAGAGGAAGTCCTGCCCAGCAAAGAGGGCGCCCTGCTCTCAGGTAAAACACCCACACTAAGAAAACCTCAGCAAAGGAAAATAAGTGCAACCACTGACTGGAAAGGGAACACAGCATTTGTGGTACGCAGTTCTGTTTTGTCACAAGCGCACACACAGACAGCACCGAGAGGGCCACCGTACATCACAGCGAGATACCCCACCCCGAGCGCTTTTCACTCATCACGCTACTATGCTAGACACATCCCGTTGCCACCATGCCCGGCAATTATGTCATTCTTAAGTAGAGTGGCACCTCAGGTTCAGGAACGCTTTTGGCAAACTTCTGTTCATGTTTCCAAACTTGGCATCGGGCTGCAAACACAACCGTCTTTTTTGCATGAACATGAACATGGCCATTTTCCCCAGAATCAGGGAACGAATGAAATCTGTGAACCAAGATACCACCATACTTAAGAATCAAAATGCTTCACAAATTTCCCACACACACAGTAAATGCAAGGATAAATTTCTATAGCAGACTAGAGTAAAAAAAAAAAAAAAAAAAGAATCAAAATGCTTCACAAATTTCCCACACACACAGTAAATGCAAGGATAAATTTCTATAGCAGACTAGAGTCCCGATTTCTGGAGTATCTTCCCCAGCCAGAACATCCACAGAGGAAAATATGAAGTCCAAGAATGTATCAAAGTATTTATAAACTCAATAGCACCACTACATGTTCAAAGAACAGTAACACAGATGATATAAAATATGGCTTGTAGCTGGGTGTGGTGTTATACACCTTTAATCCCACCACTCGGAAGGCTGAGGCAGGAGGATCACCACAAGCTGGAGGCCCGCCTAGGCTACACAGTGAGTTCAAGGCCAGCCTGAACTATATAGCAAAAGCCTGTTTCAAAAAGCCAAAAAAAAAGTGGCTTACACATTATTCAATGAAGGTAGCAAGATACTTGAAATTATAAAGTATGAAATAAAGTGATTTTAAATTCTGTTAACAGCTGGGCATGGTGCACACACCTGTAATCCCAGCGCTTGGGAGGCTGAGGCAGGATCACTGTGAGTTTGAGGCCAGCCTGGGCTACATAAGCAAGTTCAAGGCCAGCCTGCACCTCATAATGAGACCCTCTCAAAAAAAAAATTCTGTTAACAAATACCAAAAACAGAACTACTACCGCGCTGGACGGAAGTGCGGCAGACACTGGAAACTAAACAGCGGTCTCCCACACACACAGGAGTCTGGGCTCCACAAGTCCCTCACAGTGTGGCTGCTGCGGCCCCGTCTCGGGGCTGGCCGGGCTACTTCCTGCGTAGACTCGGGAGAACGGCTGGGGAGGGGAGGGCCTTATCAGCACTGCCCAGGCTGCCTCTCACTGCTCACCCAGGAGGCTCGGTCCCCAGCGTGCTCCTACTCGAGACAACTGCAGGGCCAGGCAGTGTTTCAATGCCTTTGTCCGAGCCAATTCGCTAGCAATTTTTTTGAAATGATGAATTCTCAAACTGACTTCTAAGTGTCAAGGCCCTCAGCATCAGCAGTCTGAGGATGGGGTGACCAGGGCGGTGACACTGGCCCACCACGTGCATGTAACGTCAGGCGTGTCTGCACCCAGCAGGCTACACCAGCCCCTCCCTGTAACTCCAGCCACCCCGTCCCTGCAAACCCTCTGCCCTCCTCAGTTTCATCTGTCATTCGCACAAGCTTCCTTTATGCATTCATTTTAAAAATGCAAAAGTGCTGGGTGTGGTGGCACACACCTATAATCCTAGTATTCAGGAGGCTGAGACAGGAGGATGACCCAGAGTTCAAGGTCAGCCTGGGCTACATAGTAAGTTTAAGGCCAGCCTGAATTACAGAATGAGATCCTATCTCAAAAAATAAACAAAAATTTTAAAAATGCAGAAGTATGAGTTAACATTAAAGAAATGGTATTTATTTTCATGTGTGGTCTTTACTTAGCACTTACACAATTCATAAAACTTTAAACAGAAAACTTTATTTTTTTTTTGCGACAGCGTCTCACTATGCAGCTCAGGATGGCCTTGAGCTCACTTTGTAGCCCAGGCTGGCCTCACACTCACAGCGATCCTCCTGCCTCAGCCTCCCAAGTGTTGGGATTACAGGCGTGTGGAGAAAAACTTAAATTCATCATTAGACTTAAAAAGTTTTGTCTGAGTAGGTTGTAGCACATAATATAAAGGAACCCTAAAGGGATTCAATACCAAATACTGTGCTCATTTAGCCATATGATGTAGGCCACAGATACAATCATGGCTTAAGAATAAGGCAGCTAATTAGAATTTACATTAACTTTTGGTTTTGTAAGTCATGACCCTGAGACACACAGTTCCTCCAGCTCTTCTGGAAGGCCTGTTTCTCAGGCTCTCAGAAGGGGCAGACCACCACTGCCAGTTCCTGAACTAGACCAGAAGGGCACATGGTCTATCCCAGACCTACAGCAAGAAGATGACTTTCACAGGGACAGCAGACAGCTTGGGCACCAACACCACCGCATGGGTTTCTGTTCTATTAATTCAGTGATACTAAGAGGAGTTGCTACCACTGCCTAGTTCTGAAATGTGCTGAGGGCCCCTGGTTCACCTGCACAGAAGCTGGCAGAGAGGACAGGGTGAGGGATGCTGTCATAGAACGATCAAGATGAAAACTGCACAGCTGAAGACCATCCCCCAACATTCCGAGGGAACTGCCAAGTATTCATATGAAAAACACGTGGTCATTCATACATCACTTTTGCAAGAAACAGCTACGAAAATTATAGAAGAATGATTCCTCCCAACTCATTCGTAAGATTACTAAAAGTTGGTCACTTAAGAGTCTGGGGTTCTCCCTGCAGTGCTGGAATGGAAGTCCGGCACGTGCATGAGGCCCGCTCCACTGAGCTGCGCCCTCGGCCTTGCTTGGGGCTCCACGTGGTCAGCTGACTCAATCGTCCTCTCCTACAGCCATGCAATGCTAGTCAGCCAGACAGGTGCTCCTGATGTCCCCCACTTGGAACCGTCCCACCTCCCCGGCACCAGAGCACCCAGAAATCCCGGGCACTCCCACAATGCACTGCTTTCTTTTTGTATCCTTACTGCACGTATGGCTGTCGTGGATTTTTAGAAAGTATTTCGGCACAGCAGTGTGTGTATAGAAAGACTTGTTACAGAAAGGGATGGTGTTTCATTACTTACTATGCAGTGAGCATTACTGTGGATTATTACTTTTATTACTAGCAAATATAAAATCTGCTTTTACTAAGTTTTACCACTGCAGAGGAAATGCAATGCACAAACAGAAGCTCATTTTGCCTATATTAGATCACTTCTTTATAAACTGGGAAATTAAAAAGAGCAAAAAAACACTTTTCTTTCCCAGTTTGTAAATAAAACCTAGTCTGCAGGTAAATAATTACACAAAATAGTATCAGAATTCTACTGTAGACTTTGATGAAAGAATCCCCACATACAAGGATGGTACACTGTATATACACATTTTAATACTGAACTTTTGAAATGCATGAAGAATTTGCTTTTTCTAAAAATGACCATGTAGCATATTTGTTGTCTTACTCATGAGCACCTTTTAGCCAAATATGATCTGTTCAGTGATTCTTTGAGATAAATAAAGTCCAATTAAAGCACACACATACACACACATATAAATAAACTACTGACTCATATACGGTTTTCTTCCAGTCATTAAAAATATTCTATTTTCAGTTCATACTTTAGTCAGTAAGTACTTTAAAATATGTATCATATCCAAGGCTGAGGCTATAGCTCAACAGCAGTGTTTGCTTTGCATGAACTAGGCCCCAAGTCCAATTCTCAGTACTGAAAACTTAGTTCATTAATTTTATATATACTTAGCTGGAAACTCAAAGGGTTAGTAAGGATTTACCAACAAAATACTTTTGGAGGGAAAAACCCTGAATGAGGGCTCTAGAACTGTAGTCAAACTGCAGCTGTGTCAGGTGGCTCAGGCCTATAACCCCAGATACTTCCGCTGAGACAGGAAGATCCAAGTTTGAGGCTGGCCTGGACAATTTAGCAAGACTCTGTATCAAAATAAAAAATTACAAAGGACTGGGGATGTAGCTCAGTGGCAGAAAACCCTTGGGCTCCAAACCCAATACTAAAAAAGTTACATTATAACTTAAAACAGCTTCAACAAACCTACTCTCTTCAAATACTGTCTCTGGCCATACTGCTGCTCAGACACGAGTGTCCCAAGCTGAACGGGTGAAGTGCGGTGTTACACTTAGCATTCTAGATTATTTATATAATATACAGAAAACTTTTGCCCAGCCAGCACACGCCTGTCACCCCAGCGCTCAGAAGGCTGAGGCAGGAAGATCACTGGATGTTCCAGGCCAGCCTTGTCTACACAGTGAGTTCAAAGCCAGCCTGAACTACATGGTGAGACCCTGCCTCAAAACACCCTTACCAAGTATGTATATAGTTATACCCGGAACAAGTCTTTTAAAAATCTGTGAGACCAACTTTGGCGGCCCAGCACATGTTTACCACACACCAGGCCCTGGATTTCAATCCTCAGTGCCTACCAAAAACTATTTTTTAAAAACATGAGGGAGTGCTGAGTGTGGTGGCACACTCTATAATCCCAGCCCTTGGAGGCTGAGGCAGGAGGACTGCTACAAGTTTGAGGCCAGGATAGGCTAAAAAGTGAGTTCAAGTCCAGCCTGAACTATACAGCGAAACCCTGTCTCAAAAAGACCAAAAAAAAACCCATGAGGGAGTCTAAAAATACATTTTTTCCACATATAAAAAGAAACTGAAGTTTAACAAGTTTTGAAACAGAACTCTAAAAACTATTTTCCCCGCAGAATAAACCCGAATTTCTTTGTAATCAAAAGTTATGTGTAACTTACAATCCCCCCACGTTCCTGTGAAATGACTCTGGAAGCAAACATTATCAAGCAGCACAACCAGCTCTTGCAAATGGGTCGGGAGGCGCACGCTGAGTGCAAACACCCGGTGACACACGGGGGGCAGGCGCGGCACTTACCCCCTTGGGCTCCGGCACTACCAAATGCGTGCACTTCTTATTGAGGCTCAGCTGGCAGCTGCCTCCGTGGAACGTAACCAAGGCCCACAGGGCACTTCTGTCTTCAGAGGACACCTGACGGGAGGTCAGAAAGGGGCTTTACCAAGGGGGACTTCATTACTGTAACACAGGCTGGCAGCACGACAATGCTATCTAACATTCCCCCCTATTAAGTGGAATCAACCTAAGGACATCAGTGGAAAACTTAAGAAAAGCATTTAGCTGTATTCCTATCATAACAGTTTTATAGATATAAACCATTTTTTGCCTTTTTACAAATGAATAAAAAATATTTACATCCACATTCCACAAACTTAATGGAGGATTATTTCAGTCTATAGGATAAGTAACACAGAAAAAAGGGCAGAAAAAACTAGTACACCATTCCTGCTTCCATTTCCCATTTTAATACAATAGCAATATCAAAACCGTAGTTACAAGGAACTGCTTAAAACTAATGAGTAATAAATAGTCATAATGACATGGGTAAAATAAAGAAACAAAAGTGGCTTGTAGGCACCGGGGAAAACATGAACATCATTCAACCCCCACAAATTAAGAAAGCAAGCATAAGAGGGTCACTCTTATGCTTGTACAGGGATGAAACACACCCCAGGTGCAATGGCTCTCCCCTAACACAGGCTTTTGCTGTGACAGTAAAGACAGCTAGCGTTTATTGCCTGCCTACTATGTGCCAGGAACTGTGCCAAGTGTGCTGCTTACACCCCACCCTTTCCGCTGCCACGCGAGACAGGCCCTGCCACCCCTCTACGGGAGGGAAACCACCTACACTGCTCCTAACCATCAGAGGCGCTGGCTTTTCACACATACGTCACACCCTGAACTCAGGCCTAACTCCAAACTGTGTTTTTCTACTGTTCTACACAGCTTCTCCAAGGGTAGTAACTTCTAAGTCAACAACAATTTCTAAAAGAATAAAATTTTAGAGTCTGAAAGACAAAAGAAACATTTAAGAAAAATAACAGTGTGAGCGTTAATTCTAAGCTAATCCTGTTTTTTTGTCTGAACAATTTTATTATAAATTGAAGATTGTGGGTGATAGAGTCCTAAAAGTGTCTCCAACTGATTTTTAAAGTACTCACAAACAGCGATTAATATCTTTTTAACAGCCAGTCTGCAGCTTGCTAGCAATCCAGCATTCGCTACCTCCTCTGATCCCTTTGACAAATATTTCTGGGAATTCTTCTGTATTCCACACTACTCCAAATAACAGGAACATGTTAACCTTCTAAAATAACTTTTTAGGTCATTACTTTATATCTGTATCTCTGCAATTTAATAATTCAGTGTTACATTTCAGAAACATGGACCTGGTTACTTTTACTAGAGGACTTCACAAAACAATGATACCCTGCAGTATTTGGAGAGTTGGGACATAATTAATAAGACAGATTCATCCAATGAGTCATCCTACCCTTGGTTAGAATGAAATTTAAGGCATGATCTCGCTACGCACTTTATTAGCGAGTTCAGCTGTGCTGGTGGAGCCGACTTTATTTACCGACTTCAGTGACCAGCCTGCATCCCAGGCTTGCACCCCAGCTGGGTGCCCACCTTGCTGTGGAAAGAACATCACACAGGGAGGAGCAGAGGGGCTGGGGTCAATACCCTGTCCCCACCGACCAGCTCCCACCACCCTGGAAATCTCCAGACCCAGGCTTCCCGCGACAAGTCTGTCTGGGTGACTGAGGCCGTCCACACGAGCTCAGGTCATGCATCGCAGCAGCACAATTAGCAATGTTCTTCCCACACCAAAATGCCAACGACAGTCACCTAGTGGTGACACGACTGGGGAGATGCGTTCACTCCTATACTTTTCTGTATTTCCTATGTTTGCAAAAGCATTAATTTTAGAATGGGGGAAAAGGGTTTTCCCCGTTAATAGCGAAATTTCTCAAACAGCGAAACCCTGTCTCAAATCTTACATGTTGATTGCATTCCCTCTGCTGTCCCCTCAGTGGGTTCAGCTGCAGTCCCACTACTGAAACCCCAGGACCGGGCACCACGGCGGGCCCGCCTGGCTCCTGCTGCTGAGCGCTGGTCCCTCGTGCACACCGAGCAGCAGCACGAAAACGACGCCGCTCCTTCACGTGACGCCCAGCCCCGGGCTCCTCCCCTCCTTCACGTGACGCCCAGCCCCGGGCTCCTCCCGAGATCCAGCTCAGGCGTTGGTCCACTACGCCCACAGCAAGCATGCAGAATCCTGCACTCCCCCACGCTCTAGAACAGCTTCTCTCCCCTCACTGGACTCCAGCATCAAGGAGCAGAGGACTAGAACTCCACCTGCTGCCCTAAGGTTTCCTCCAACCAATCAGAAGCACCTTCCTCCTCCTTCCGGTCTCACCACCCCCAGATCAGGCCTGGATTCTAGCTGACATGCTCTTCTCCTGGTCCCATGTAATGATCAGGTATGACACTGCTCACTGAAGACTAGAGTTCTAAGTAAGACTTATGTCCTAAACTCCTTGTTATCTTTCACAGAACCTAGTACAGTGCAAGGCACATGGGTAGGCAGTCAAGAAATATTTGTTGATTGAGATACAGAACAGAAAGGATTTTCGTTTTTAGGCTTCCAGATTTGAGTCATGACCTGGCCAGGCTCTCCTTTAAACTCAACCTATTCCCCAAAACCTACCCAGCACATTACAACAGAAGCCCCAGCCTGCATCAATACCGGCTCAGAAGAAGGCAGATGGTGTCTGTGCTTCCCAACTTCTGCTGGCACAAGCTCCCTTCCCTACCTCTCCCTGGGAGAGCTCTGGAAGACTCCAACAAAGAGCTCCAGCTTGTATCAACACCCTGACGGGAAAAGACAGAAGGTCACTGAGAACCACCAAGCAAACAGTCCTTCAGTAAGATGGGTCCTGCCTGGCGTGTGCACAGGGGTTCCGGGGTGCAGAACATTGCAACTGCCCCCTCCTGCAGCGTCTATACCTGGTGCCCACTCTTGTCTTTGTGCTTTGTAACGTAACCACATTTGTTCACATGTCTGGCCCCATCCAGCCTGTGTGGTTACTGAGATAGAGATTGCATGATGATGACATGTGCCCCTTTGCTTGGTCCTTGTTGCAGAGGACGTACTTCTCAGAGGTTTGCTCACCCGGGTCCCTTAGCTGGACCCCACACACGTATTCATTAGTATGTCTTAAATCCAAATTAACACTTTCAGCAACCACAGAGTATTCGTGCTCCCTGTGTACTTTTCTTACACTCACATTTCCAGGGTTCCTTTACCTAAGCTACTACCAAAGCAGCTCTTTCCCTACCTTACTTAACCTTTCTGAACTTCAAGTGCTTCTTAGGAAAACTATCCCATGACAACATAAATGATGAGCTATAACAAGCCCAGTGAGTTACCCAGAAGGATCAGGCTAATTCTGAATCTTCCTTTTTCTTATCTAATGAATCTGCTGTCAGAGATCTTGGTACATTAATTTCTTGCTATCTCACCACAGATACAGCCACCGCCGTGGCCAAGGTTAGCACCAGACAGAACTCAACCTTCCCTCCAAAGTCGGTGGGTGAGCAGAACCTCGGCAGGGCCACCCCTAGGGCAACCATCAGACAACACTGCCCTGCTCTGAGACTCCAGACAGCTGGGCTCGCTGACCACGCCCCCCCCCCATGCGTCTCTGAGACACACTGCTCCTGCCGTGTGGACTACAAGCGTCTTCTCTGCCAGGGCCCCAGCCCTGCTCAGACCTCTACACCTGTGCAGTGCTCAAGGAGGCAATCAACACTCCTGCCGCACTTCCAACACCTGTTCCTCCCCTGCTCCTGCGCCACAGACAGAACTGGGAACAGAAAACCATGCACAACTCTGCTACAAACGTATGCTCTAAACCTTCAGCTCGGCACGGCAACTTCCCCCAAGAACAATAAAAATGATCACGTCTCATTTCACCTTGGTTTCCAAAGATAATACCTCACTCTCCAGCATCCTCTCCACTTGTTTCCAAGCTCTCTACCTCAGTCTCCTCGGTGCACATATTACCAGGCAGGGGCTCTGCTCCCGGCCACCTGCTCTTGTCCACCCCTGCTGTGGGGATTCCCTTCGGCCGTGCTGCCTCCACCCGCACAGCCTGCCTCCACCCGGAACTCCGCATTCTGCCCCACATCACCAACCCAGCTCTCCTCTTGCCACCAGCAACCGGTCGCCTCCCAGAGCTCCATCTGCAAGCATGGCCGAGGTCGGCCCCTGACCCCCGTGGCAAGGCACCAGGGAGCCAGCGCAGACCAGCCAAGCGTACGAACGTCTGTCCCTGCGCCATGGCACTCCATCCCACAGGACCTGCGAGTCACCTCCACCGCTAGGTTCTGTGCTGCGTTGGCCAACCTGGTCCCAAATCTCCACCTCAAGTCCAAAAGACTGGCACTCTGCTCAGTGCCAAAATTCGGACTTTACCTGACCTCTCTGCTACACTCAGCTCACAGGCCAGTCTCAATACAATCCATGGTCACAAGTGACGTTAGCTCTGTAAACAGCCACAATCCACAACTAAGTATGTAAGCGGAAAAAAAGGGAACCAGCACCCTATAGTCGCTTCACTAAGTCCAAAGCCGCATACCGCGTTCCCTGTCTCTCCAGTCTCCACCTCTGCCTCCCGGACCAGGTCTTCCTTCTCCACCAAACACACAACCTTGCTTCTGACGCCGCCTCCTCGCCGCGGGCCTCCTGCAGGGGCCGCATCTTCCCTTCAACCTGACTCTGTACAGCCCTCCTCCCTTTCTGCTCTGAATGTGCTGTCTTCCAGGATGCTGACAGCTCCGACATCCTGTCAAGGCGCACCCTGCCCGAGCGGGCGGACACCCTCCTCCCTGGCTCACACGTGCACACCTGTGCCACCTGAGCGCGCACACCGCACGGAATGTGTTCCTGCCCACCGCGTCTCCACTCCCGAGTACTCTAAAGTACCTGCTACAGCCTTTGTAAAGGCAACTATTCATTCATTCTTTCTAAAAGTGTTCTCAAGCTCCAAACTCTGTTAGGATGGTCTTTCACACTCACACGTTTGGGTTTCTGATCTCCCCACGAAGGCCTAACCATGTCATGTGACCCCAATGCGCCAAAGGCCAGCTCAGCATGGCTTCTTCCTGCCGGCTGTCACCCGGTGGGGACCGTCCTGAGCACTGGGCTCTGAGTGTCTGGAACCCAGAAATCCAGTCCGCGCCAGAAGGGAACGAAAAGCATGACTGCAGCCAAGGTACACTTTGCTATGCACAGACACTGATAAAGGGTTTTCATTTTTAACAGATTTTCTGATATGCTGACTACAAATCAGGAATATATGGAGAAGTGTAAAGAGAACAATAAAATTATACATAACCATAGCACCTGACATTTAAAAATCTTCATTTCAGACTTTAAAAATCTTCATCACGTAAACGTACGTTTACACCCGATGTAAAGATCACTGAAAAATACATATCCCAAACTCCTACTGAGAAGGGAAAAAGAAGCAATTTTACTCACTTAGGTATCTGCATCAAATCAATGCAAAAGGAGCAAAAAGGATCTGAGAGTCTCAAAGAACTTCCAGAACTGACAACAGAAATCAGAGCAGAGTCAGCGTGGTCACCGTTCAGACGAAGGAGTCGCATTCAGACTAGCAAAGGCTGTCCGGCCAGCGAGCTTGCAGCGGCAATCAAACGTGACCTGGCTCCCTCGTCCTCTAGCACAAAGGCTCAGGGACAAGGGGGGCCGCAGCCGGGCCCCTTTCTACCTCCTCCAGTTTCCCCGATGTCGCCAGGACCGAGACCAGCACTCAGAGCAAGGACAGCCCCCTCTCGGCACGCCTCGCTACCTGATGCCACTCATTTAAACACACGGACTGTTCTGTGTAATTCTGAAACGCGTTTAAACAGCCCCAACTTGATTGCTTTTGATAAAAGGTTTTATTAGAGTTGAGGGTTAGGAGGACAAAAGAAAACAAACAAGATTAAATATCCACTTCTTCCGCTCCCCAGAGCTAACCAGTGGGAACATCCCAGCCCCGCCCTTCGGACACTTCGTCCCTTCAGACGCTTCTTCCCTGTCCTGTGGTTGATGTAGGGTTGTACTACTTTCTTCCACCTGAAACATTTCCCATGTCTTTACACACTTTCATCAGCCACAACTCAAAAATGTCTAAGTATCCAAACCACTGCATAAGTACACGTTTCTTTAACAATAGTGACCTGGTTTTTTCCAGTTTTAGCCTCTTAACGCACGCAGAACACCACGCATGAGGCTGTGCTAACGCACACACAGTGAGCAGCTGAGTCACGCGCCCGCCGGCGGTGGCAGGAGGGGTCTCTTCCTCCTCAGCATGCCATCAGCAGTGGCGCAGTGAGCACGCAGTGCCGTTACGCATCTGATAAGCAAACATTCTCATCCCATCCGTCGTCAGTAAAGCGCTCAGGCCTTGGATTAGAAAGTGCTATCCAATGTTTTGTCATACTTATTTACAATTCCTTTTTATACGCTGTAAATTCACTTTTCTGACTTGTCTGCCTAGGTCTTACTAGTATTTTATTGTTCTGTACCAAAGTTCAAATTTTAAAAATTTTTGACTATAGTTTTGACTAAATTCTCTTTATCTTTTCATTTCAAGTGTTTTCATACCCCAGTTTTAAATCTCTGTAATTCCTTTAAATTACCAAGACCACTTATTCTCATTTAACATTTTAATTCTTAAAAGTAAACATGAATTTTTAAATAGCTGCTTCAGACATTCACAGTGAATACACAGTGGGTTAGTACAGGTCCTCTCTAAAACTGGTTAACACACAGATCAATGACATGACCTCTTGCTGTCATGAGTAAACACAGGACTAACTGTAACCGGGCTTACCTGAGAAAGGCAGGCAGTGATTCCAAAAAAAATCTGACACGACTCTGGAGAAAAACCATTTACTCTGTTTGACAGCCATTAAGATCACAATGAATACGATCAGCACAGCCTGCACTTCACTAACGGACACGGCCCACTCACCCACGTGGACAGTGCCCACCTGTCTCCCACTCGGTCCTTTCAGCAAAGAGAGAGATCGAAGATGACATGACCAAAGGAGAGTGCAGGGAATAAACAGGAGCATACCGAACTCGAGGAGCTGAGCAAGTTTCAGTAAAATACATCACTCTCAAGTTCGGTCTCTCCACTTACTTCATAAATAAAATGGACGTAGACATGCACGGGGAAACATCCTGACCTTGGACAGTAGTGCTCTACACATTTACAGACACATACCAGCACACACATGCACACGTGGGGGTTGCAACTGCTTTAAAAGCAAAGTAACCACATCTTAACTTTGTTTGACAATGAAATCCCAGTGGTATCGCTTGCAGTGCACAGCACGAAACTCCTCCCCTAAGAGCCTGAGCTCCGGTTCCATCACCACCACATCCTTGTGAACTCGAGGGACAGCTCACAGCCCTGCTGCCCCTTCGCACACAGGAGCTGGAAGTCGAACCCCCAGACCCCTCCTAGCGGAGCCGTTTAGCTTAGCTGCTGAGCTCACCGCGCTCACATCTTTGAGAACATGGCTACACGGAAAGCAGGCGGGGTCTGTCTCCCTGTGCATGTTCTTTGGGATCCATTCAAGCACACACAATGTCTATCTTAGAATAATGTGGAGTAACCAGAATTCAAAATGGTTAAAATAGCACCTCTCCCTCCCTACAGAAGAGTACACCTACTGAGATAGACAAATTCAAACAGCACAGTGCTACGTTGTGATTTTAAAGTTTTGTATTTGAGCAGACGGCCTTTTCTGACTGCCCTGCACTCTGCAGACCCCAACATGACACTTGAAGCTCCCTTCTCACCCTCCCTGCCTCAGTTCAGGAGGCCTCAGACTCCCAGGGACCGGGGACACCAGACTGATCTCAAGAGTGCTCTGCCGGCCCCTCCTGGTCCTCCAGCCCTCTGATGGCCACGAGGTAGGAGCTTCCAAGGGAGGCATAGTGGAGCGAAAACAGCCCAGAACAGGAAAATGAGCCTCTTATCTTCAAAAGACCCATTCCCTCCCTGTCTCTATTCCCCCAGAGCTTACAAAAAAAAAAAAAAAAAATAGCGGGCGTGGTGTCGCACACCTATAATCCCAGCACTCGTAGGCTGAGGCAGGGGGATTACTTCGAGTTCCGGGCCAGCCTAGACTACAAAGTGAGCTGAATGCCAGCCTGAACTGCACAGCAAGACCCCGTCTCAAAAACACAAAACAATAAAAAAAAAAGAAATAAAATAAAAAACTGCCACTATCAGGAGCTGAGGCCCTTCAACTCTTCAGACCACAAGTATGAGGCTGCACAATTCCTGAGCTGGGATTGCTGAAGTTTTCTCTCCTCCAAGACCTGCTTTAAAAAAGGGTATATCCTCTATTTGAGGTCCTCCATAAAAATTTCATGATAATATTCTGTCTGTCTGCACTGATTCAATAAGTAGTAAGTGCTTTTAAAGGCACTGTCTAGCACAGCTACAAAATAAAATCGGGTGAATGTCATAATCTCTTGCCCAAGCCTAAAATTTCAACACCATAACTATATGATATCAGGTATTCTTTTCTGGGGGGGTACCGGGAATCGAGCTCAGGACCTTGCGCTTGCCAGGCAGGAGCTTATGCCACTGAGCTACACCCAGGTATTCTTAAAAGAAGCAATTTCCACACTCAGACTCTGCTTGGAATGCATCTCCAATGAGGCTTCATCCTTTCGGAATGAAACAGAAGCCACCAGGCCTAGCAGTGTACACAGCAGGCTGCGGAATGGCTCGTGCCTGACACAGAGCCTGGGGCAGAGCCACACTCAGAACTACTACCTGACAAACACGCATGGGGGCGCTCCATCAAGAAGCCCCTCTGGGACAGAACGGATGAGGCCTTCGTCCCCATTCTAGTGTCAGGACCCATCCCACAGCAAGTGCTGAACAGGCATGCAGGGTGACTCCCCCGCCCGTCCTGTGTAACAACGCTCACTGTAACACTAACCGTTTCCTCTCACGTTCTCCAGTGTACTTTCAACCATTCATGGTTTGGTTCCTACGGACTTAGAATTCGAGAAATACTGTCTAGCTAGAATCCACAGAAGTTGAAAAGAACCAGAACTCATGCCTTCTGGTCCTGGCTAGAGCTGCTGGTCACAGCTAGTCCCCATCTTGACACGGGTAATGACAAGGATCGGGCACGTAACATATGATACGGGACAGAGAAGGTAGGGCAGACAGGGCAGAGGAAACAGCTGTGCCTCACTAAGGAATCCACTGTTCGTTCAGTGACTGCCACTTCAATCTTACACTCAGTTACCCTTACCCTTCACCCACGCCCCAAAAAAGGATACGGCAGAAGAGCTCCACACTGCACAGACAAGATCACCCAGGAAGGCTGAAAAAGAAAACAAATTAAATCAAAAACTGTTGCAGGCATAAGGGTGAGTATTCAGACAGTACCAATGTCACAGTCAAAGATCAGTTACTATGTGCATGCTGAAAACTCCAATTCAACAGTGAGGCACTGCCACAGTTTCTAACCACTGTGATGCATGGACACTTACAATGTGAGTGCATACACCCACTCCTGCTGACCTCATCCACAGGTGGAGCTGCTGCCCAGCCCACCTGTCACCAGAGCCACACCCGGGGTTCAGCGGCCCCAACACACACCTTCTAGAAAACTGAGATAAACCCAACCCACATTTACACCACTTCTCTTAGTAAAGTCAAGGAGATACGGTGGTCGTAAAACACAAAAATTATTTCTAACTGCTTGGCAATCTTACGAATTCCAAAACTCACACTAATTACAAAACATATTATATACAACCTTCTGGGATACTTTACATTCTTGAAAATTATCTCCTTTTGTTTCTGTATTTAATTTTTAAAATGACACTAATCGTTACCTTAATAGATCCATTTGTAAAAGATACCATCTAAAAATACTGTATCATAAAACCCCCTTTCAGCCAGCCAACCCCCAATCCTCAGCCGAATGAAACACACACACGCACACACACTCATGACCCAGCTGACGTGGCCATCAAACCTTCATGTCAAATGCTTCGTGCAGAACCAGCCAAGGCTGGAGGGAGGTAACTGTGGCGAAAAAAAAAGCATCTCTCTCAAGCAACTTACACTCCAGCAAACAACCTCCAAACCCTTTCGTCAAAGACTCACGCACATTTCGGGCAACCGCACCCCGCACCACTGCTGAGGTGACAGCTACAGTATTTCAGCACAAGCTCAAAGAGGCCTCTGTTCCGTAACAAGACAAATAATTTACAAAATAAGACAGATTGGTTGCACTTGTGATGACAATTTTGTGAACATTTTGTAATTTTACCACAGGTTTTTAACCAACTTATTGGATAAAATGCCCCAAATCTGAAAGTATCTTAATGTTGCTGTCCATTTCCTGTGTCCAATGTGCCTTCCCAACTTGGTAATGCCAGAGAAATTCCAATCAAATTGAAGTACGGGGCCAGCACCCCTAATTGGGTGCCTTTGGTACGCTCTGAACTCAGAACACCGTGTGGGCCAGGCTTTATTCTCACGGGATACCCCCAGAGTCTGCGGCTGGGACGAGCTCTAGGAAGGAAGCCCTGAAAGCAGCACTCTGAGCCACCCTTGCCCAGAAGTCCCAGAGCTGAGGTCATGCGCTGCGGGAAGGCAGCCGAGAAAGGTAGGGCTCCCTGTCTGCGGATGGGCAAAGGGGGGTGGTGACCACAGGTGTACACTCAGGCCGTCTGAGGAAGGCATGATCCGGAAACACACACCTACACAACTGTCCTTGCGTCACACCCTGGAAAGCCTGCCTGGGGCTGAGGCAGCCGTTCCCAGTTTAAAGCTGCTGGCCTGGCCGCCATGAGGTCCAGTCCCAGCAAGGACAGCCACCCTGAAGCCTGCTGTTAGGTGTGTCTAGGCAGAATAATGCAAAGTTAAGAAGTAGGATACACTGATAAAGCAAAAACAGAGAAGAAAAGAACGTAGTAAGTAATTTAGAGCCAGGTGTGGTGGTACACGCCTATAATTCCAGCTTTCCGAGGCTGAGGCAGGAAGGTTGCCTTGAGTTCAAGGCCAGCCTAAACTACAAAGCAAGATCTTATCTAGAAAAACAAAACAAAACAAACAACAACAAAAAAAAAATTAAAGGAGCAGTACACAAAATAAGCTTACTACAAATCAGTATTATCAAAATTGTATTTCCAATGCCAATGCCACTGAGGAAAAATGTTCCTATTAAAAAAATTAGAGCCTGGAATGGTGGGGCACAATTGTAATTCTAGCACTTGAGAGCTGAGGCAGGAGAATCACTGGAGTTCGAAGCCAGCCTGGCCTATACAATGGGTTCAAGGCCAGCTTCAACTGCCTGGGGTGGCCCTGTTTTAAAACCAAAGGAAAAAGAAAGTTTTGTGTTCGATACCTGTACTAACTCATTACGAATGTAATCATGGGCTGCAAAAATGCACTAATAAAAATTTTTTAATTATTTTAGATGTTTTCGTGCCTATAAAATTGAGGCTTTTTTATTCAGTCGGATTTTATTGGTACATTTTAGATATAAATAATGATCACATTCATCATAGAGAATTGGTACCTGCACATGATTTAACTTTTTTTGCCCATTTCCCTATCCTCCCTTCAACCCCTGCTCCGCTCCCAAAATTGAGCTTTAAACATCTACAAAAGCTAAATATGCAAATGACAGGCTGTCACTGTGTGTGTGAGGACATCTTCTTCATAAACGCAATGTCAAACTCCAGCAGGGGAAGGGTCAAGGGCCACGTCCCAAGGGAGCCAGGCCTCGGCCTCAGCCTGCCCAATTCAGACTCCACCATCTATAGCAAGAGCCTAGGAAGACAGGCCTCATGGAGACCAGGAAGGAGAGGCCTCCCAGAACTGCCCAGAGCGGCCAGCCATGGGGCTGACTCTGAAAGCCCGCCGCTCTCAAATCCAAGTGGGCTGGAGGCTGACGCGGATGGGACAGGCACGCAGACACACGTGCAGAGGGCCTGGGTCCTGCTGCGCAGCCTGGCAGCATACACAGACTTCCCCAGGACGCAATGCTGGGGGGCTCCCGCGGCGCCGCGAAGGGTTGCCGGCCACGCTGTGATGTCACCTCACCGTCGGCCTCTCCACCTGCGGGCCCCAGGACTCTGTCTGCACTGGCAGCGGGCACAGTCCGTGACCCACAGACAGCTGCCTCCGGCAAGCCCATTCTGCCCTGGCCTAAGCCTGAGCCCGCCATTTTCTGAGTGAAACACATACTTACGGTTTCTTTTCCTTCCCTTCTCCTTTACATTTCTGAGCAGCCAGTATATGTGTGCTTGTTTTAGTGCTAGGGACTGAACCCAGGTGGGCCTCACACGTGTCAAGCATGGCTCCACTAGTGAGCTACCCCTCAGCCCCTATTTTATGTATTTTTAGGTACGTGGCAAGTCGCCTCACACGGGACTTTCATTTCTGGACAATGAAGCGGGTACCACAATGTATTTAATCCAAAAAGGGGACACGGAGTCCGACAGGTTTAAGCAGCCCTGCTGCTGCAGGTGTGGTAGTAGGACCTAATGCCTACAGGTTAGCCTCCCTTCAGTGAACTCTGCGTAAGAATACAAGGGCGCTTTAACCACAACACACCCGAAGAAGTCTGCGGAAAAGGCAGAGGACTGACATACACATGGGAAGAAGTGTTCTGGCCCCACCCTGTCTACAGAGCGGCATCAGGTGGGCCAGCAGGGACTGCTGACCACCATCTCCACCAAAGGCCTGCACACGCAAGCCTGCGTGGGCTGTGCTGAAACACGCGAGCCAGTGCGCAGAGGTCACCACCGTCCACCACTGCAAAGGAACCGTCACTCCGGCTCGGGCAGCAGCCTCTGGGGAGTTTGGTTTGAGAAGCTCCTCCTGACACCCACTCTCACATTTACTTTCAAGATTCAAGTTCCTAAGCCTGCCAAGCAGTTAGATCCCCTATCTGACTGATGGCAGTCATGTACTATTAAGCCACCGAAACCAGAATACTGACTTGTTTGAAGGCACAGTATTTAATGGTATGAAGAGAAAGAAAACAATAGTAGCACAGAACTAATGGAAAACAGTTTACAAACAAAACTGGTACAGCCATGGCTATTCCACCCTGAACACACCAGATCCAGGGAGCTGGTCTGTCCTGCGTAGCACTTGGACAGAGAGAGAAAACTGAAGGATCAGCGTTACACACCTAACCAATTTAAAATCCACATTAACAGCAGTTACTATTTGGCCACAATAGAGCGGCACAGTCTGTGGATCAACAAAATCTGAGGTCAAACACCAGCGAAGCCTCCAAAAAACTACGCATAGTCAAGTGAGAGGGCACCTGGACGGCCACCGGTAAGTGTGACTAGTGCCCACTGTGACCTTTCTCAGAGTCGCTCACTAGTACAGTAAAGTGGAATGGATTCCCTTCAGCTGCTGCTCAGCTGGAAATCAGGGCTACCCGCCACCAAGAAGAAGGGAAGCGGCCCTGCTGCAGGAGCTACACTCGACAGGCCTTGCTCTGCTTTCGGAATCAAATACACCTTCCTGCAGTGACCCGAGCACCTTCGGATTCCCAGCAACAGACCCCTCCTAGCACGGGTTCCCAGCTTAGACTTTCCAGGCAGAGACAGCCGCCCATGCAAGCCTACAGCGGACGTAAAAGCTGACCTAGAATCACATACACAGAAACCCCGTTGCACTGGACGGAGCTTCTCACGTCAGGACGAGCTCACAGGCTGGAAAGTGAGGTAGGTTACCGAGACGACAAAGGGCTCTTCTCACCCGGCAAATTTCCCTTTCAAGCAGAACTTCAACAAATTCTGTAAAGAACTACAATGAAACGCCAATGTACTGCTATAAAATGGACTGATATAAAGTCAGATTTCCTACTTACCTTTACAACAGGTAGGTCAAAGACTTCCCGAGCTTCTCCAACCTCCGGGTTGTCCCCATCCTCCGAAATTATGTGTGAGGCAAGGGCGTTGTAGGATACTTCCTTGGCTTTTCCAGCTTTAAGAAGCTGAATAACCTTTAAAAACACACACATAAATTAAAATGAAAAATACTGTATTGTATTTCTGATTTATGTGAATAATCGTTAGACGTGATGGGACATTTTAATAAAAACACACCATCTATGTAGAATCAACAACCTTTCGCTCCGAATAATATGCTAATGAAACATTTGGCAACAACACAAAGCAGCAAATCTTGACTCACTGACCAAGCAACAAAAGCTACTGTGAGCCAGCTACTAGCTATCACAGATCTTCAAGACAGAACAGATGAGGACGCAGCAGCTGCTGCTGAGACCAGGCGATGCAGAACAGTCCTCCCGGACCACCAAGCTAGCGCGTGGGGATGAGGAGTTTTATCACTAGGGCAAGGGAAGACTCATGAACAGAATCCTCAGACTGGCAAGCTGAAGAACTCACAGGTGTTAACTGGGAAAAAACACACACGAGGAGAAAGCACAGCAGTCCAGGCCCTGGGCAGGTGATCCCAGATTAGTCCTGAAACCATCTTGGTACATGCAAAGCCATTCACAGCTGGGACCTTCTTCCCTTCCTTTCTTTTCTTGCTCCTGAGCATCCTTGGGTTCACACAGCCACATGAAGGGCCGCACCATTACACCACACACCCTGCCTGCAGCAGGCCCCACTCCACTTCCTTTTCATGCCAACCTCCCCAAACAAGTCTCAGCTTTCCGTCTTCCCCTGCTTACCGCCCGCTCACTCTCACATTGCCTGCAGTCCGCAGGGGTGTCCATGGACTGGGAGGGCACCAACAGCAACCACTTCCTCCCACTCCCACTCCCAGTCTCTCCCTGCCCTCCAGACAGCGAGCATTCTGATGCAGCCCAATCACAAAGGTCTTCAAGTTCTACCATGAACATTCCACGGGAAGCTAACCTCTCTTCTGTTTATCTCAAGAATATGCTGAAAGGACACCTACTTAGTGACAATTCCGCGGGGTCTTCCATGAGTCCCAGCCGAGAAAGCGTGCAGCCCCTGCACTGCCTGCTCAGGTGTGCTCCTCCGCCCACCACGCAGGGCCGGTACCCCTGAATCCGCTCGGGCCTGACCCACACTAGATGGGTACTCTCTTCACCCACATTTACAAGATGCAGAGAACTCTGGCCAGATGCTTGGGCTCTACACTTTTTAGAAAACACACTATTTCCCATCAAAGCATTTGCCAAAGACATCTTCAAGTATACTCAAGACTTGACACATGGGTGAGCAAATACGGCTGGGGTTCAGCTTGTTCCCCATTTCAAATAACAGTGGGTTCAAGACTCCTGTGAGAGCCAAAGTCCTGTAACCAAGAGCTGGAAGGAGAGGGAAGATAACGCCGCATAGTGGGAAAAAATGGAAATCACAAATGCTGGAAGAAGTGCTCATTTTTATCACCCAGGGTTTACTACCCTTTTCAAGTCTTTAAATTCAAGGCTGCAAGTCTCTACACCCTGAAGCGACAGTAGAAAAAGGACCCCATGGGGTTTAGTTAGGCAGACACACCGACAAGCTTCTGGAAGGCCGTGAACCTTGTCCAACTCCTTCTCTCCCACCCAGGTCTACCTGTGAAATGTTAGCGTCCACAGCTCCACGCCTAAGTTAGGGTCACTGGTTATTCTTTCTCCAAGCTGGGCGCTGCGGGTGCGACTGCTCTAAGAAAGGAAATGTCCTGAAGACTGGCTACAGGAAGATGCCAAACGGAGGTTCCTTTCTACACGGACTGAAAGCTAAGGTGCATTTCTAGCTCGGATTATTATACTCTGACGGTGACCCAGAATTATTACTCAGGACAGCCCACACGATCATCTGGCTTGGGAAAGCGCAGCGCCCACTGTGCTGGTGTCTGCGAGGAGTACCCCTGTTTACAACCCACCCCACGCGAACACGCTGGGACTCGGAGGGCCGGCCCCGCGCCAGGGCCCGGGCTGCGTGCGGCGCGAGCGCTCCCGGCCGGCCCG